TATGTACTATATATATAGAGAGAGTAATGCCAATTGGTTGGAGAACTAAAGTAAAATAACCAAGAATCGGTTGCGTTGTCTCATATATATATATATATATATATATATATATATATATATATATATATATATATATATATATATATTGATCATAACTGAATGGTGGACCTGTGTTCCAGGATTTCAGTCACGATTACTATTTACTGAACTAAGTGGGATATAGTTTAGGCTATCAACTCAATAGTCGACATTTAAGTGTATGTGGACTTTTGTACACAGCTGCATAGGATAACGTGCACATTCATGCAGTAGCTAGTGAGCCACACTTTATTGTGTGACGGTTAGGAATGATACTACCTGGCTGTCTAACCCTGGGTAGCTTGGGCGGACCTGGAACCCGTTACCCAATGGTTGGTATTCGTCTCCCTAAATGTCAATGTTAAAGTTGTCACTGGTTCAAGCACCCTCAAGTATATAATAATAATCCTCTAAAAAGTGGGTTACACTGAAATTTAGCACTTCAGTCAGAAATGATAAACGAAATTATCATATGATCTAGTTTGATCAGTCGACTTTGGTGTGTATCCTTTCTAAGTAATCAATTCTAAATCCTACCTAATCTAAGGTTTTGAATACAATTTTATACATTACTTACTCCAGATCTTTGATGATTGTTCACTGATATCGAAAGTTGAACTGTTGATCCGCATACTTTATACATAAAAACTAATTTGTACAGTCTGATCTTTAGTTCATTATCACATATGATCAGTTGAAAACCTACACCTTGGGTATTTCTGTTAGCATTTTGAAAAAAATAAGAAGTCTACTCATTTTTCAATCAACCTCTTTTTATTTTATTTTTTGAGTAAAAACTTGAAATAAGCACCTTAAAAGACTTTTTCTTTCAAACAGAATTAAATTTTGAGGGAGTTGTGGAGATTTGGAAATATTTCAAGTTGTTATTCATCGTAGACTGACATCAATTAGAGGAACAAAGGAAACCTGGGAGCACTGGACAGCTGTTTCGTCCCATTTGTATGGGACTCCTCAGCAGTGCGCACCCACGACCCCACACCAGCAGGGATCGAACCCGCGACCTTCAGGTTCCGCGGCCAGAGCGTTACCATTGGGCCACTGGGTCATATTTCCAACTTCTGTTAGCTCACGATAAATAACAACTTGAAATATTTCCAAACCTCCACAACTCCCTCAAAATTTAATTGAACTGGTGCTCATTGGTGACTAGCTTCGAGAAGTATTCCCGAAGTCCCAATGACAAGTCGTGACCGGTAGAGTCAAAGCCTGATGGCCGTGAGGACAGATACTCAACGATGACATTGGGTGGCGGTTGCGCTATATCATGAGATAACAGAAGTTGGAAATATGGAGCATTGAATTCTGACCCAGTGGCTAGCTCAATGGTAACGCACTGGCCGCGGAACCTAGAGATCGCGAGTTCAGTCCCTGCTGGTGTGGGGTCATGGGTACGCACTGCTGAGGAGTCCCATACAAATGGGACGAAACAGCTATCTAGTGCTCCAAGGTTTCCTTTGTTCCTCCAACTGATGTCAGTCTACGATGAATAACAACTTGAAATATAGAATTTCTTAGAAGTTGGATAGTAATTTTAAATCATAGAAATTCCCCAAAACGAAATTAGAACACGATAAATAAATGAAAAAGGAAAAGGGAAACGTAAAATTGTGTGAAATAATAACATAATTTAAAAAACTGAAATCGATTCTCACAGAAAAGACTATCAGTATAGATTGAATGGTTAGTAAAGTGGAATAGTGCGCATGTATATATTATTTTGTTATTATTATTTGTCCCTTGGATTCCAAATGCAACATAGGGCTTCACTAGCATGTCTCCATTCTATTCTGTTCTCTGCAGTCTTTTCAACCTGACTCCACGACTGCCCACAACCTCTCATTTCTTCTTCACACCATCTCTCCGTGTCACCCTCACCTCAGACACCCAACTGGTCGCTTCCCATGTGGGTTCCACTCGAGTGCCTGGCCTGATGTGTTATGTCTCTGAATGGTCTTCTCAGTTTATGCCCAATCCATCTCCACTTCCACTTCCTTCTGCATATTTGTTGGGCGATAGGTTCTTAGTTGGTTGGTTCGTTGCTAGCCATTCAGCTAGCCAGAGTTGCTTGTTGCTTATTTGTATTATTCTGGCCATCTGATCTGAGCTTCAGTAACGAGCCAGCGTAGGTGGCAGTTGTTGATGAATGTCTGTAGTTTGTTACAAATGCCTTTCGTAACTCGCCAAGTCTCTGAACCTTATAGCTTGGTTTAAATATTGTGCGGGCATTCCATGTCCTCATGTTTACTTTCGCTTTCATCGAGAGAAGACACATCGACCAGTCGGCTTCACGAAGCTTTCACCAACCGACATCATTTCTTCACCCCATTTCCAGCAAGGAATAAGTTTCTTTTTATGTTTTATACTTTGTCTGTGCTTTGAAGTTTCTGTAGCGATTGTATTGGTTTTCTGGTGTTGGGTTGCTAGCCGTATGTCCAACCTTCCCTCTTTACCCGGGCTTAGGACCGGCTAGTAACTAGCGAACTAGTTAACCAGGCGAGGTTAGGAGGATTGGGAGGATTTCTTTAAAATTATAAGTGTACTTGAAGAAGAAAATATGCTTATATAACGAAATATTCGGAAAATTATCCCCTTTATGTGTTTGTGTGTGTGCGAAACAAATTCAAGATTCCGAGCAAACTAGTGTCCTATGTGTTTCTTCTTATCAAGATAACTGAGTTTCACTCAAAAGGGTTATTGTAAGATTAAACAGTAATAATTAACGATCAATAGTTGAAGGTTGCGATGATTCAACCCAAATAATTCCCGAAGGAAAATATTTTAAAAAAAACTGGTAATCAGCTGTTTTTTAGTATCTCGTACTAGAAAACGTTTATTCGCGAAAACGGGCCCTATTTATAGACTTTACAGTAACCTTCAAAGATTGAATATGATTAGTGGTATGTTTAAATAAGAAACAGAAGCCAATCAGAACGCCAGCGGGTTATATGAAATGTGACCCAAGCGCGAAGAGAAAGAGTTAAAAATATACAAATTGGAAGTATGGAATATGAAGGATATAGGATCCCTAACAGTTACGGGGTTTGAACCTATGTCTACTCCTCACCTGCAGAAGTAAGAGTAGCCAGGCATGAATATCACTAAGACTTCATACAATAGACGTAGTTCATTGCTTCATGCACTAATCTGCATACCATTACTTCGTAGTTGCTTCTATTTTCATTCACTTTGAAAAATCATTTTTCAGCATAGTTTAATTTAAGGTTTGTAAGGAAGTAAAGGTACCTCCAGATTGGAAGTAGGGCTACCTTGTCAAACTCCCAAAGAAGGGCGATCTAAATCTTTGCAAGAACTGGCGAGGAATCAGGCTCCTGTTCATTCAAAGCAAGTAAAATATTATGTCGCATCATCCTGGAGAGACTAAAGAATGAGCTGGATTCAAAACTACGACCGGAACAGGCTGGCTGGATCCAGGAAGTAGAAATCATGTGTGGACCAAATCGCAACGCAACACTACGCATCATCATAGAACAGAGCATAGAATGCTAGTCAACTCAACTTCATCGACTTTGAAAAGGCCTTCGACAGCGTCGACCGAGTAGTAATTTGGCAGTTGCTTCAACACTATGGAGTGCCATAAATCTTTATCAACCTCATTCAATAGCTATATGCCATATGATGCTACATGCCAAGTGATCCACAATGGAAAGCTCAGCGATGTGTATGAAGTGAAGACAGGAGATAGGAGTAAGACAAGTTTGCCGCTTACTATCACTGATCATCTTCCTGATTATAGTCGACTGGATTGAACTGTATGATGCAAGAAACTGGGAGGAGCTATGAGAAGATGGGCACTTCCTGGCTGGACCGATGACAAGATCCTAGAAGATTGGGATTTCGCCGATGTTGATGATGATTGATGTCTAATGTCTTATCTTGCACAAACTCGAATATCTACAGGCGGAAACTGACAAGTTGGCAGAAGAAGCAAGGCAGGCAGTGAAGGAAGACGAGACTTCCTTCAGGGGAACGTAGAGAAGATAAAGGTAGAGATGGTGAAGATACCCAACCAACAACAACAAGCAGCAATCACCATCAACGGAAGAAACTTGAAGGACGTTATCTCTTTCACCTACCTAGACAGCATCGTTTCAACTACAGGCGGCACAGGCACAGATGAGAACATCAAAACCAGGATTGGAAGGACAGCAAGATTGGCCTTCCTTCATTAATCTGAAGTAATCAGTGTAGAGATCTACTGCACTACACTCCACTTCACTGCACTTGGCACAAAGCGTGAACAAAATTCGGATTTTCAACATTAATTCAGTCAAGTTAGTCAGTGCTTCTCTGTAATGGTTGAGGTACTTAGCGGCCCGTTACGAAAAGCATTTTCAACAAACTAGAGACGTACATGAACACCTGCTGTCTACTCTCACTCGATACTGACTTTGAAGATCGATGAGATGGATGGTCAGAATATTTGGAATAAGCAGGGAGGAACTCTGGTTGACTGGCTGCCTGGCAACGAACCAACTAACAACCTTTCATCCAACAAATATACATAAGAAGAAAGCGGAGATGGATTAGGCATACACTGAGGAGACCGATGGGGTACATCATGCCTTAGGTCAGGCCGTCGAGTGGAACCCGCATGCGAAACAATGAGTTGGTCGTTGGAGGCGAGGGTGACATGGAGATGGTGTGAGGAAGAAATGAAAGCTTGTAGATAGTCGTGGAGCCAAGTTCAAAAGACTATGTAGAAGAGAGTGAAATGGTGATGTGTTAATGAAACCGTATGTTTCACTAGGAATCCTAGGGACAAATAATGATAAAAAATAGTTTAATTTGTATTCTTGTTTATTTCATAACATGACATTTCACTAATCCCTTTCTTTTTCTTTCTCTCTATATTGACATTGACATCTCTTTTGTATATACAGAAATGATTTCAGTCAACTTGTTGGAGAAGAGTTTGCCAGCTTCTTTGATTTTACTAATCAACGTTTAGATGTGGCATTGAGATCATTTTTAAATAGCTTTTCATTAACTGGTGAATCACAAGAACGTGAACGTATTCTCTTACACTTTTCACGACGTTTTCATGTATGTAATCCTACTGTCTATTCATCTGAAGGTAAGTATTTTCTATTGAAGAAGGTTTAAAAAGGTGTTTATTATAATTGGTTGATTGGTTGTTGTTGTTGTTATTGAATTAACTATATATTATTCGCTCAAGTTATGCATATCCCCTTAACGGTCTACTGTAACAATGCATATATAGTGCTTATATTATGACATTACAAATCGTATAGTCGTCATATAGAGGATATTAGTTGTGATAATGATGACGTCATAATTATCAGTCAATTCGGAGGTTTCAGAGGAAAGAGAACTGATTGATTTGAAAAAGTTCTCATCATGAATTAATCTGTGATGATGAGAACAATCTCTCTCTCTCTCTCTCTCTCTCTCTCTCTCTCTCTCTCTTACACACACACAAAGACATCCTGAATAACAGTTCAGTGCTTACTAGTAACTTGCTTCAAGGTGAACTTCCTACAGCTCTCCTTTTTAAGGGTCGAGTTTATTGTACTGCAGTTCGCTCTCTATGGCTGTGAAACATGACCATTAAAGATAGAAGACATCAGAAGGTTTCTGGTGTTTGAGCACCGTTGCCACCGTGTTTCGTGGCTGAAATGGCTAGATTATGTGTTATTTATGCTTAACCACTGTCTGCCCCATTGCACAATGTGTTAACTGAAGTAGGTTCAGTCTGGAGAAAGGTTCATGGCAGTCAGACTAAATCATGGTATGACTGCATGAAGTTAGTCTGGACTATTTAAAGAAATGTAGACTAGCCGGTTGAGGTCGATGGGACAAGAGAAACCAGTGGTTGGAGACTCTAGGTGTAATATGGCTCATAATCGATATCAGTGGTGCAGATGTATCCATACTTTGTCTTCATGCTTCTTCTCTTGGACTGCTTTGTACTGCTTTCGACCGATGTTTCTTATTACCGATACTCACCAATGGTTCTGGACAATGATTGTACTATGTCACAGATTAGCATCAGTCCAAGAATGTGGACCAATGGAGTCTGATCCAGTAACTGAGCGATAATGTTTACTCAGAGACCTTACGGTTCTTGACCTTAGCTATTCTCGGAGTCATGGGTGTTCACTTTTAAAGGGTCTCCAGTGCTCCCAGGTTGTTTTTAGTTCTCTAAGTGGTAAGAGGTAACTATTTTCAACCTTCAGTATAAACAGCTTCGTGTAGTCTCCTGTAGTTACTAAGGCATAAATTTAAACGGATCAAATCAGACCTTGTCTTGTTGTCCCGGCGGGAACAACATCACTCACTGGGAGGCAGGTACTTGCAGCTGATGAGTCCTAAATAGGACGAAACCCACGTAATGTATTCCACTGCTATTTTATATTCTGTTCTATTCAAGAGTGAATGTATCTGCACCATTGTAACTGATTTCCAGCCATGTAACCAAAGGTCTTCAACTACTGATTCTTATCGTCTTGGCGACCTCAACAGAATAGTCTACAACTCCCTACTTGACTCAAACCAACAGTTAACAACTTCATAGACTGATGCCACGTGTACGAGTGAAACGCAACGGATCAGAATCAAATCCTGAATTATGTACAGACCTGTTGATAACTTTCGAGAAGTGTTGTATTATAGCAAGTTGAAGAATTTCAGGTGTGCGTAGATTCAAGAATCGGACTGGTTAGCTGATGGTATATGGATGTCAGTGAATTCAAGTGTTTCCAGCATTCATGTGTCAAAGAGAGAGAGAGAGAGAAAGTTGAACCCATCGCAGCATCCTTCAAGTTCTAAAACCATAACCATTAGGTTTTTGTGTCCTATAGTTGAAGAAATCGTCAGGTCCACTCATAATGTTACAGTCTTCTTTTTCCTACCCGCCGCCCCCTCCGCCCCGCCTCGTTTTCCAACGTCTCCTTATTTGTCTACGTGCGTAGTTTGTGTTCTATCAGTTATGATGGGTCAAAGTTGTTACTTATCATATTATCATATTGATTTACATGTGGTAAGACAAGACTAATCACTTATTTTCATTCCTTGTCTGTCAAAGTTAATGGATTTCTATTTGGACAAATAAAAAAAACTTTTCATTTTCTGTTTGTTTTTTGGATTATCACTGGCATACATACACACACATGCATAAATGGATCTTTCAAACCTTGTTATTATGTGCATAGGCATCTGTTCTGTTACCACCGGTTAAGTGTACTGTCGACTATGATCATGTTGATGATAATGACCTTGCTGAGTAATTGTCAATACCATCCAGCTTCTTTGTTACGTACAATTATGATGCATATGATGCATGTATGTGTGTGTGTGTGCACTCTTGACATGAGTACTTCGACAATCAAATCTTTTGTATATCAATGATTTTCCAATGTTGTTTATTAGTCGTTTGACTACAACTCTATCACAAAAGTTTCAGTATCACTGTATATTTTCACCAGTCGTTTCACCATAGTGTAGTTATTACTACTACTACTACTACTATCAATAATAATGATAATTTAGTGTTGTTGCTTGTGTTACACCGTCGTTGATTGGACCGAATTGATCAGTCTCTGTTGGCATATAGGCTCCTATGCGGATGCCTCGATATTGCCTGTCTTTTAAATATGTATAGTAATGATGGGTAGTGGCTAGCAGTAGAATCTAGGCAAGTACATCCAGCTGACGAGTCCCAAATAATGATAATTGTCAACTGTTACTATTTATTGACATACTTGTTATTCTCCGTTGTTTTGTTGGATCGAATTATTCGACCTCTATTGGCATATGGGCTCCTATGCAGATGTCTCGATATTGCCCGAATATTAATTATGATAATTTGGTTTGTTGGTTGTGGCTAGCAGAAGAATTTAGGACGTGCGTTTCGTCCTATTTGTGACTCGTCAACTGGATGTACATGCACCCCAGTGAGTGATGTTGTTCCCAGTGAGACTCGAACCTCGTATTCATCGCTTTACACACCAAGGCGGTTATCCACTATGCCATGGAGGAACGATAGCCACTTTTTGTACAACCACTGGTGGTTATTACTATTTATGGACATACTTGCTATTCTCCGTTGTTTTTTTGGATCGAATTGTTCGATCTCTATTGTCAACTGTTTCAAAACTTGTTGCTACCAAACTGTGGCTATCTCAGATAGTCAAAATGATAATCAATATGATGCTCCCCTCTCTCTCCAATTCAGTTAGATTTGGATTTGGATGAGAAGTTCTGACTAGACAACGAGTAGTATGAATACGATCAAGTGGTAATAACGCGTCACGAATTCTCATGGTAGTCAGGCCCAATCCCATCTTGAGATTCAAGTGAAATAAAATTCTTGTCAGCAGTCGGACGTCATAGCTAGCTCAGTTGGTAGAGTATCAAACCGGAAGCCTTTGGTCGCAGGTTCGAATCCGGCCGCAGTTCAAATCTTCATTTCATCTTCAACCATCACCCAGTATCGATAAAATTAGTCTGGCAAACCACGACTATCTCAGATAGCCAAAATAATAATTATTCAAATATTTCAAGTTGTTATTCATCGTAGACTGACATCAGTTGGAGGAACAAAGGAAACATGGGAGCACTGGACATCTGTTTCGTCCCATTTGTATGGGACTCCTCACCAGTGCGCACCCATAACCCCACACCAGCAGGAACCGAACCCGCGACCTTCAGGTTCCGCGACCAGCGTTACCATTGAGCTAGCCACTGGTCAGAATCCAATCTTCCATATTTCCAACTTCTGTTAGCTCACGATATTTATATTGTTGTCTGTAATGGGTCGTAAAATAACAGAAACAGTTGTGTTTCATAACGTATCAGTTGCCAGACTTTACAGTAGTATACAAAGAACAAAATTGATGCCATGTTTTAGTCTGGCCACCTCGGGTCTTTTTCCAGCCTGGACCTACTTCGGCCAACATTGTGTGACGAGGCTATCGGTGACTAGGTATACGTAGTACGTGTCCCAACCATCTCAATCGATCAAGGTTCATAACCTCGTCAAGTGATTTACCTCTACTCCCTAAAACTCTACACTTAACTTCTGCATTACTCACATGGTGACACCACAGAATACGGCGTATACTGCGAAGGCAACGGTGGTCAAACACTTGAAGCCTTCTTTATCTTCCATCTTCAATGGGCTTGTTTCACAGCAGCAATACAATAGAACAGAGCTGACTGCTGTGCAGTACACGCGACCCTTAATAGACAAACGGATATCATGGCGGCGCCATAGGTGGCGCAAATTGACAAAAGCCAATCGAGCCTTTTGTATCCGTTCAGAGATCTCATTGGCAACTGACCCACCAGCAGTGATCCTACTTCTCAGGTAAGTGAAGTGGTTGATATATCTTTAACTACCTAGTGACTATGAGGTACCAGTCGAAGAAGTCCAGAAGACAAGATATACACAGAGCAGTATTGATGTTCAATACACAGACGAAACTCAAATACACACATATACGCAAAGAGAAAGATGAGTTACTAACTCTATGAAATAAGTATTCATTTCTCTCACTAGTATACATTGCCAAAGCAAACCATATTAGTGGAAAATCATACACTGTCTACAAATTCATATCGAAAGGATATTTCATTTCTCGATAATTCATATTCATTTGTTTTTAATCTCTGTCTGTTTTTTGGTAAGAAGACATTTATTCAACTTTTGTCCACCTTCAATCGATGTTTGTCATTTCATCTGAGATAATCATCTCCTTCTGTTACCTAAATGATAATCGACTATAATGATGAGGCTGAGTAAATTGCCATTTCCAACTTGCTTAATGCTTACAAACTAGTGCTATATTTAATATTTCAAGATGAATTTGTCATGACTGAAAAACACACTAACAATCACAATAAAAACAATAACAACAACACAACCAAATGATTCGATTCTGTACAGCAACTGGGAATTACATGTATCAATTAAAAGTAAGAACAATTGATACCACTTTTATAAGAGGTAACTATCGTGCCCCTATGGCCTAGTGGATGACGCTTTGGCGTTCGAAGCGGTCAGCGGGAACAGCACACTCACTGAGATACAGATTCGTCCAGCTGACGAGTCCTAAATAGGACAAAATGCGCGTCAAACTGAATTCCATAGCTAGTCACCAGGATGAATAAAACTAACTTCTGCTTGTATTGTATCAAATACTGATCCATCTACCTATCTATTATGACCAGAGAGGCTTAGATAGCATCACATACCTCTCACTTTCCTCTCTCCAACCTCATATATCTCAATCACATAAGATTCACATGTATATACTGCAGCTATGACTGACTAAGTGTATACTTTATTCTTTGGAAAAGAGGAACAAACCATTTGAGTAGGATAATATGAATTCGTTAAAGTCTCACAGATTTGTCTCAATCGCCTATCACTCTAACTCACACGATCTCCTCCATGTCACCCTCACCTTGGTCGCCCAACTCGTCGTTTCCTCTTTGGGTTCCACTCGAGGGCTTGGCCTGATGCATGATGTCTGCCATCGGTCTTCTCATTGTATCCCCAATCCATCTCCACTTTCTCCTGCATATTTGTTGGGCGATAGGTTCTTAGTTGGTTGGTTCGTTGCCTGCCAGCCAGCCAGAGTTTCTTGTTGCTTATTCTTTCTGGTCATCTGATCTTCAGTATAGAGTGAGCGTAGTTGGCAGCTGTTGATGTGATGTATGTGTGTAGTTTGTTGGAAATGCTTTTCGTAAGAGACAGCTTCCTTTAGATTTCTCCCGTTCATAGTGATTGGTGCTTGTTGATGGTATTGTTGGTTGTTGAGTATCTTCATCACCCCTACCTCTATCTTCTCTACGTTCACTTGAAGGCCCTTCTTCGCTGTCTCACCTCTCCCCTTCTGCCAACTTGTTAGTTTTCTACTGTAGATATTCGACAATGTGCGACACAAGACAATAGAGATAAATCCCAATCTTCTGGGCTCTTTCATCGCATCGGTCAAACAGCGTATACCCATCTTCTCACAGTTTCTCGCACCATCCAGTCCAGTCCAGTCGACATTACTGTAAGTCCTCACTAGTGATATGCTTCCAAATGGATATCCTGAAATTCTTATGAAAAGCCATCGGAAGGGAAGTGGATGCCATCTGAAGACGTTGGGTGATAGTCGCACTATATCGCAAATTGAATTGTGAACCATTGAACTCCGTCCCAGTGACTGAATGGTTAATGCTTTCACTGTGAAACCTGAAGCTCCTGAGTTCGATCCCTGATGGGGTCGTGATTGCTTACTGTTGAGGGAGTACCTTACTAGGACAAAACAAGTGTTCCAGTGTTCCCAGGTTCCCAATGATTCCCTAACTGATGTCACTCCATGATGAATACGATCTCAAAACATTATTTAGTTTGTTGATTGTATAAATATCTTAAAGCTTACAGCATAAGACTAGACATTAAAGTAACTAGATAGAAAAGTTGAGCAAAGAAATGTTGAAAATCTATGCGTTAAGGCGAATCCAGTTAGTTAACATCAAAGTTACTCTGAGCATGCATACAAGCTTCAGTTTTAAGATAATTTAGAAATCATATTTTCGATGTTTATTCTCTGGTAACCTCAGTAGACTTAAGGATACCTCGGTTATTTTGTTAGTTAAACTTTTTGAAGGATGTCTATGTGAGATCTTGTGTCAATGAAATGTTGAACAATGACACTATCGGCAGTGTTTGTGCATCTAAGTAACAGACTAATTGAAATCTGTCCCAGAAATATAAAGACAACCATTCTTTATTTTCTTCTTGTCTAAGTATGTCATCATTAAGATTAACATAAGACCAGGGATTACTGCACAACGCTTTAAGTTGCCACACCTCGTATCAGCAGAACATCAAGTATCAAGGCAATGAAATGGAAGATGAAGAAGGAAAGAAAACTCGGTCAAAGGAAGTTGAAAACAGTAAAATAAAGGAAGGAGGAATGAAATGATGAAGAATAGTGGTTGAGCTAAGGATAATGTGTGTATATATCTGAGCCACTGACATTGGTTCTGAGCCATATCACATGTAGAGTCTTCAACCATTGGTTTCTCTTGCCTGGTAACACATGTCTCAGACATCTCAGTCGATGAAGGCTCACAACCGTGTTAACTGACTTACCTCTTCTCCTTAAAACTCTACACCTGACGTCTGCGTTGCTCATGTGGTGACACCATGGAATACGGCCTATACTACGAAGGCAACGGTGCGGTCAAACACCAGAAGCCTTCTCATATTTCCTACCTTTAATGACCATGTTTCACAGCCATAGAGCAGAACGGAGGACACTGTAGCACAGTAAACTCGACCCTTAATAGACAATCAGATATTGAGAGGGTGTTACAGATGGCGTAAGTTGGCAAAAGCCAATCGGACTTTTTAAATCCGTGCAGAGATGATATCGGTCACTGACCAATACATCAGGTCTGATTTGACTTACCCAGGTAAATGAAATGTTCTACGCGCTCAACCACTTCACTCTGTATTGTTAGTCGGGGTACTGTTGACGATCTGGAGCAGCGATTTGCACTTGAGTGGCGAGAAACTCAGGTTATCCAGAAGATCAGCTTCTTCACCTAACAAGTCTATGTCATCTGCATGTTTTTGTTAGCTTTAACATTTTACCATATTTCTTAATATTTCTCGGTTTATTTATTTTTTGTATTTTATGCTGATTGATAAGTAGATTAGTGAAGGCAATCACTAGCATACTATTTTAGATGTTTCCTCGGTAAAAGAGGAAGTTTTCTTCGTTTGCTTACTGAACTCCTCTATTGTGTTTTTGTTCGTTGGCAGTGTAATCATATATCTTGATTTCAATAAAGATTTTCAAAGTTCTATGCACCTTTCCCCCCCCCCCATCCTGACATACAATTCTTGTTTCTTTCTCTTATACAGATACATGCCATACTTTGATTTGTGCACTCATGTTACTCAATACAGATCTTCATAGTCAAGTATGTCCATTGTTAAATTTGGTAGTTTGTGAGAATATATTCATTTCAAGTTAGTATATATCATAGATTGATATCAGTCGGAGAAACATCGGAAACCTGAGAGCATTCATTGAACAGCTGTTTCGTCCTAGTATGGGACTCCTCAGCAGTGCGCGTCCATGCGACCTGAAGGTCTTTGGTTCAATCCTTGGTGCTGTCATGGATGCTCACTGCTGAGGAGTTTTATACTGGAACGAAACGGCTTTCCAGTGCTTCCAGGTTTCAAATGTTCCTCTAATTGAGATCAGTTCATAATGAATACCAACTTATTATATAATTCACTATATATTGTAAACCAATATGATTACTACTGCTATAATTAGTAGTGGGATTAGTAATAATCTCATTATTGATTGCTATTTTGATTGTTTTTTTGCAAAAGACATTTCTCATCTTATGTATAAGTCACTTTTGTTTATGTGAGTGAATCCATTACTCCTTGTATGGATTTATAACTATATCCGTTTAATTACATCTCAGCTGTATACTTGATAGCAGTACCTGAACTCAGTATCAATCGTTTTAAACCCTAGACTGTGTTAGTCTTGATGGGATTGAATGCGATCAGAACTCAAGCCTGAATAATATAAAGTTGATCCCTCTCTAGTAAACAATTAGTGTAGACTTGCAGTCATATTCATCGGTGGGAATTCTTGCATATTGAACTGGAATTTCTCTGTCTCTTCTGTTTGTCTATCCACAATAAGAACCTTTTTTCAAAAAAATTTGTAGTAATTCGTTTTCTATGATGCATGTAGTTTAGTTTAGTGATTTCACATCGATTATTGTGAGCTGGTTTTGTTGTTGTGGCAATATATGACCTGTAAAGGGATTACCGAACAAGTATATTACCCTAATCATCAAAGCTGTCAACTGGAACTCACGCAGTAGTGTCAGGGCTTATGAAGAGTTGTCATGTGAATTAACGACAACTAGTGATGTCCTCCAAAGATGCCCACTATTCCTATTTAACTTCATTATAGACGTACTAAAGGACATAAACTTCAGAGGGTCTCACTTCATATAGATTGATCTGCTCCATACCTGGAGACGATATTGTCTTTCTGGATGATGACATTGAGTTTGTTCAGTATACGTTTCGCTCACACGTGAAATGTAAGATGATGCTGCAAGACTAATCGGCAACTAATTCTACCTTAGTGATAGTAGGCAGTGATGTGGTGGTTGAATGCGTCGACCACTTCACTTATTTGTAGAGTTGTATCAGTTTGAACAAGTTGGTTGGTGATGAAATCTTAGCTCGTATACAGAATGCCTGTTTGACATTTTGCCAACTTTGATTATCTATGTAGCTGACCAGTGAGATATTCAACTATCTATTAAAGGATGAGTATACTGTGCTGCAGTTCATCCTCACCTGTTATCCGGCTGTAGGACATGGCCGTTAAAAGTAGAAGAAATAAAGCGATTACAGCGTTTCAACCACAGATGTGTGTTTGCGTGTAAATCAAGGTGTTTCTTGGATATTTCATTTTTTATTTGTCCTTTGGGTTCCTAGTGGAACATAGGGCTTCAGTAGCTCGTCTCCATTTCACTCTCCTCTCTACAGTCTTTTAAACCTGACTCCACGACTGCCCACAAGCTTTCATTTCTTCCTCATACCATCTCCTTCATCTCACCGTCGATTCGGACGTCCAACTCATCGTTTCCCCTGTGGGTTCCACCCGAGGGCCTAACCAGGCACGTGATGTCCCTGAATGATTTTCTCAATGTATGCCCAACCCAATTCATCTCCACTTTCTTCCTGTGTATATTTGTTGGTTGTTGTTGGTTGGTTGGTTCGTTGCCAGCCAGCCAGCCAGAGTTTCTTGTTGCTTATTCTTTCTGGTTATCTGATCTTCAGTATAGAGTGAGCATAGGTGGCAGCTGTTGACGTGATGAATGTCTGTGGTTTGTTGGAAATGCTTTTCGTAACACACCAAGTTTATGAACCATCACATAGAAGCACTGACTGATTTGACTGAATTAGTGTTGGAAATCCGGATGTTGTTCACGCTTTCCGCTGATTTGGTTTTCTGGGGTAGGGTTGCTAGCCGTATGCCCAACCTTCTCTCTTTATCCGGGTTTAGAACCGTCTAGTAACTAGTGAACTAATTACCTAGGCGGGTGAACCTGCATACCACTGAGACTCGAACCTAACATCCGTCTTTTTAAATGCAATAGGGTTATCCACTAGGCTACTAAATTATCGTGACCACTGGTTGTGAAACTTACGTCATCTTTGGTGCCGCTTCAGCGATATCCGCTTCGTGATTAAGTGTATCGCGCTCCAGTTCTCTTTGTTCTACTGTATGGCTGTGAAACATGGGTATTAAAGGTAGAAGGCATGAAAAGGCTTCTAGTACTCGACCATCGTTGTCTTTGTAGCATAGACCGTGTTTCATGGTGTCACCATGTGAGTAATGCAGAATTCAGGTGTAGAGTTTTAGAGAGGAGAGATGAGACGGTTGATGCGATCGTTAACCTTCATCGAGTGAGATGGTTGGGACATGTGTTATGTATGCCTAACCACAGCGCGCCTCATAGCACAATGTGTTAACTGAAGTAGGTTGAGTCTGGAACAAGACTCGTAGCAATCAGACTAAAGGATGGAATGACTGTTGATCTGAGTCATTGAAAGAAATATAGACTAGCCGGTTTGGGTCGTCGGGACAAGAGAAACCAGTGGTAGGAGACTCTAAGTGATATGGCTCAAAATCGATGTCATTGGCGCAGATGTATCCATGCTTCTTCCCTCCTGTTACTTTCTACTTCTTTTAACAGACTTTTCTTTCTTCTTTTTCACCTCTCATTTTATTACTTTGTTACTTGATGTGTGGATTTGAGATGTGACAACTTGGACCGTTGTGCAGTAATCCCTGGAGTTCTACATGGATATTGATTGATTGATAGTTTCTATCTTATAGGCTATAATATTCTTATCTTCGATTAGCGCAAATTGATAAGCCACCTCAATATAAATCTCAAGATGAATGAATTTTCATTTATTCTTCTCCCTTCACAACCTGTCTGTTTTGTCTTTTTATCACAACAACACATTCTATCTCATTATAGCGATATTAGCCAATTTGTATTACACTCCAGTAATTCACGTGCTACTTGAAATGAACTCCAGTCTTCACTGTTAATAATACCATTAATCATTTCGACATTGTATCACGTATATATATATATATATATATATATATATATATATATATATATATATATATATATATATATATATATATGTCTATCTGAATACATTGACTTATTTCACTCCTATCTTCTCTACTCTTTCTCATTTCAACTTGCTTTTCAAAATAATGATAAAGAGGAAAAGAGAGGGGGAGAGAAAGAGAGTAAAAGGGGGAGGGTGTAGAAAGACTAGTTGAACGGTAGTGAAAAGTATCACAAGAATTTATTTTCCAATATAAAGAAGAGAAGTTTCTATCTCTTTACCTCATGTATAGTGTAGCGGTTGGAGACTGACTGTAGGTGATGACATGGCTGAGAACCGATGTCAGTGGCACAGATGTATCCCCACACACATTATCCTCATCTTAACGACGCTTTACCGAATCTCACCATCTCATTCTTTGTTTCTCTCTTTTCGTACTTTATATTTCTTTTGAATGAATTTTCCTTCCTTCTTCATCTTCCACTTCACTACCTTTCTACTTGATGTACTGATATCAGATGTGGCAAGTTAGACCGTTATGCAGTAATGCCTGGTCCTATGTTGATTTGGATGGATGATTGATTGTATCATTCTCATATATTTGATTCTAGAGAATAGATCTTATGAATGCATTCATTTCAACTGCTTGCATTACGATCCCCTTCAAATCTTGTCCTACAAGCATCAGATCGTGGTGGACAATATCTGACTACAGCAGTGGGTCACGTTGGTTTGAATGTTTGATGGGGACATCATTTCTTTCAAGATTATCGACGAGTGCTGATATATATATGAAACCTAGGTCAAGCAGAGTTAACTTCCTGCCTATTGCTTTCAATCATCTGACACTATACAGTTGTTAATTTTATGTTTATCAAACAGATAGACGGAGAAAATTAATGCGGAACCTCGCACACAAGTGCATCAACTAGTGTGAATATTCAAGCTCTATAAAGTATTAAGGAGCGAATACATCTGCATCATTGCAACCAGTTTTCAGCCGTGTCACCAAGAGACCTTAACCATTGATGTCTATCGTCTTGGGGACCCCAATGAGATGGTCTGTATCTCCCAATATGCCTCAGACCGACAGTTAAAAACTTCATCGACTGGTACCAGGTCTTGGAATGGTCACTTTGAATTCTTTTCCAACCTTAGCCAACTTCTCGTAGCATAGAATGTAGAGGTAGAGGGTAGGTTGACTTGCGCAATATATGTGTCAAAGCTATTTCAGTCACCTAAAGTTCATAACCTAATCAATCGACTTGCTATATGCTTGCCAAGTACCCTTGTTAATCTAATCTGTATCACTGTTATATTAACATATCCATTAGGATAAATTATTGGATAGGTAAACTAGAAATATCCTACTGCTTGGATTTTTTTTTTCTTTTCCTCCTAACCATGGTACAACATCACAGTTGGCAATCTGATATAACAAATTTATCGGGTTGGTGTGTTTTTGAAAATTATCTCCCCATTTATCTCCTCTATAAGTAGTTATGGTATGGTATGATTTATTTTCATCGTATGAAAACGTGAATTGAATTCATCATCATCATCATCTGTTTGTTTGTTTGTTTGTCTGTTTACCTTTAGGGTATTACAAAGAAAATGTCCTGTCAAGATTTTATCAATAATTTAAGTCAAATGAATTGTGGAGATAACTTTTGTAAAGAAGATTTGAAAACTTTATACAATGCTATTAAACAAGAACCAATTCGTTGGCCTCATCAGTAAGTTGGGAGGGGGGTTCTTACACTGATTCTATTGGTTATTGCTTTTAAAGTTGTCGATTTAATCTTATAATCTGTTGGTTTTCGCATTATTTCTTTTAAAAAACTAATCATTACAATGATGGTGATTTTGATATCTGATAGATTTTGAAGTCTACTTTGCTGTCTTTGTACTAGATATAGAGGCTTTCCAATTTCATTTCATTCCTCTTCAATGTGAAATAATTGAAATAAAGATGTATATATGCCTTCGATAGCGTCAACCGAGAAGTAATTTGGCAAGCAGCTGCTTCAACACTATGGTTTTAGTGATACAAACCTTTATCAACCTCATTCAACAGTAGCTATATGCTAGATGATCGTACATGCCGAGTGATTGACAATGGAAGGCTCACTGATGCCTTTGAAGTGAAGACACGGGATACGAGTAAGATAAGGTTGACGCCTACTATCACCGATCATCTTCCTGATTGTGGTCGACTAAACTGGACTGGATTGGATGATGTAAGAAACTGTGAGAAGATGGGCACTTGTTGGCTGGACTGATGCGATGAAAAGACCATAGAAGGAGATTTAAATTTCATCAATGATAATGATTTATGTCTAATGTCTTATGTCGCATATTGACGAATATCTACAGGTAAAAACCAACAAGTTGACAGAAGGGGCGAGGCAGAGCAGCAAAGGAAGACAGGACTTCCTTAAGGTGAACGTAGAGAAGACAGAAGTAGAGGTGATGAAGATACCTAACCACCACCACCACCACTAACAACAACAACAAGCACCAATGACTATGAACAAGAGAAATGTAAAGGAAGTTGTCTCTTTCACCCACCCACCCACCTACCTACCTAGACAGCATCTTCTTAACTATTGGTGGCGGTGGCGGCACAGATGATGTCAAAGCCAGCCAGGATGGGAAAGACAACAAGATAGGCCTTCCTTCATTAATGTGAAGTAATCAGTGTCGAGATCTACTGCACTACACTCCACTCCATTGCACTCAGCATAAAACGTGAACAACATATGGATTTTCAAGACTAAATCAGTCAAGTCAGTCAGTCAGTGGTTCTATGTGATGGATGGTTGAGAGACTTGGTGGCGCGTTACGAAAAGCATTAGCGACAAACTTCAGCCATACATCATGAACAGGTGCTACGTGTGCGTATTTGATACTGAAGATTGATGAGATGGATGACGAGAATAATTGTAATAAGCAAGGTGGAACTCTGACTGACTGACTGACTGACTGACTGACTGACTGACTGACTGACTTGACTGACTTAGTCTTGAACCAACCAACAGGAAACGTATCACCCAACAACTATGCAAAAGAAGAAGAAAGTGGAGATGGATTGGAATTGGATGGACATATACTGAGAAGACGGTTTGGCGACATCACTCGCCAGGCCAGGCCATTCCCTCTAGTGGAAGCCAAATGGGAACCGACGAGTTTGGCATGCGAGACGAGAGTGACATGGAGGAGATCGTATGAGTAGGAAATGAAAGCTTCTGGGCAGTTGTGGAGTCAGATTGGGAGGACTGTAGAGAAGAGAGTGAAGTGGCTACGTGGTAGTGAAGCCGTATGTTCCACTAAGAACCCAAGGGACAAATAAAACAATATTAATGACTAGTATGCCTAAATATATAATCTTTATATACATTAACACAGCCTACTTAAATCAGTCGCCAATCAGTGTCTGTGTAAGTAGGGTATATTCTCCACAGTATTGAAATGTAACGAACGTTTTGAAGAATTGTCAGCACATTGCGTCTGTATTCATTGATTTTTGTTCGTAAATCATTGAATTTACTTGGAAAGCTTGGTGATTCTGGTTGGCTATATAAATAGTGAAGGCAGTTCAAGTGTTCTCTGAACTCAATGGACACTCATACTGACCTATAAAACTTTACTATCATTTTCAACAGTATATTGGAAAGCAGAAAAGAATATGAACGAAGAACTCGTATATATCAGTGAAGAGTCTTTTTTTTCGGTGATTTCATTTTCAATGCTGTACAACTGGATATTTATACATTTTCCTAGTGTAAGGATTTGATAGTTAAAAATGGTTTATCCAAGCATGATAGGCAACACAAATAGTGTCAATAAATGAGTTGTGATTAAAATTAAAAAAAACAAACGAAAAAGTAACTGTGATGAGTAGTGGATATTATTCAAAGTAAGTTTGGACAACAAGTTGCGTAACATGACGATAAAGAGATAACAATCAGGATAATTTTAAGGGCTACTTTAGCAACTGATGAGATAACCAATTAGAAAAGTACTTTCCCAAGTGAAATATCGAAGCCTGATTGGTCATTTCAACAGTTGCTAGGGTGGCTTCTAAAGTCACTCAACAATGGTGTGTGATAAGGAGTGTTATAATTGAACATATCGTGAACATGAATAACCTTATTTCAAGAATCTTCTCGTCTTTGTATGATCTGCATCGCCGAAGCTCTTGCCATCTATATATAGAAACTTGAACTGTACACGTAAAAAGAGATTGTTCAACCCCCCCTTTTCCTCTCAGTCTCCTCTACACCCCACGTTCTTTTCATTTTTCTGTTTTGATACCATTCACCTCTTAAATAATTTGCTACTCATTCTTGTTGCTATGTTCTGCGTGATCACAATTCACTTGCCAATTATATCATCATGTTATGAAGCTTCTTGTTCAAACTTCTTTTAAATACTATTCCACTACTCATCATTTTCTGGTGTTTTGATTTCAGTGACAACTCACATGATTGAGACTATTTATGTTGCCTGCCATCGTTGACAAACCGGTTTTTAACTATCAAATCCTTACACTAGAAAATGTATAAACCTGTAATTGTATAGCTTTGAAAATGAAATCACCGAAAAGAGACTTTTCACTGAAATATACTTGTTCTTCTATCTATATCCTGATGGATATATTTCACAGGATAGAATGAACTGATCTGTCTCCCTGTTGATATGACTAGCTCTGGTTTTAACTTGGTATGTTCACATTGACAATGTTCATGTGTTCTGTGTGTTTAATCACATATTCATGCGTCTAGGATTCACGTTTCGTCATATTTGAATTTCACTGCTAGTCGCTATCCATCATTATTCTATAAGTGAACCGACAGGCAATATCAAGGCATCCGAGCAGTAGCCCATATCCTATTAGAGACTGATCAATTTGATGCAATCAACGATGAAATAATACAAATAACATTAAATCTATACCCGTTGCACAAGAAGTCGATATCGTGACTCCATAGCCTAGTAGATAACGCTTTGGTGTTTAAAGTGACCGGTACAAGGTTCGACTCTTAGTGGGAACAACATCACTCACTGGGAAGCTGGCACATCCAGCTGATGAGTCCCAAATAGGACGAAACATGCCTTCTGGATTCCACATCTTACCGGCAACCATCATTAATATAAACTCACCCTTATTGTTCATACATAGTATAAAGTGTTCAAGTGTATCTGTAACTATTGAAATGTCTTCTGGCTAACTGATGAGTGAACGGACGGTATTGATAATAATCATACTATTGAACAGATTTCTTTTTCTTGAAATTATTATCTTACTGTAAATATACTTCTATGTTCACTTACAAATTTATCTATAATCCCTTCGAAAAAAATTTTTCAATATTTGATTTTACTAAGTTTAAAGGTGTTCTCAAAAAATCTTTGACACTGACAATCAAATGTAATACGTCAACATTTAATCAGATTATACCCAGTTCATGATGAAAACTTCCTTGGAATCAACTAATACGAGAATTATCATTTATGGAATTTCTCATAAGTGATGAAATATTGTAACTTACAGAAGTTAGTTGAAAATTATCTATTATGCAATCCAGTGGCTTTTAACGATATCATGCTCATCTTCAGGTATAATATTGTTGAACTCAACTATTCACAGTATTCCAGGTGTCCCCTGTTGAGTAGTTGCCTAGTATATGAAGAAACAGCTGTTTAGTACCTTGAGAATTTTAATAACTCCCTAAATATCATCAGTCCATGACGAAGAAAACTATTTTGAAACAAATAATAATGATATCCTTAAGCAATACATTGAGGGGAAGGTGGTGATGGTATATGTGCACCACTATTATTATTATTATTATTACGTTGGGTTCCTGGTGGAACATACAGCTTCAGTAGCACGTCTCCATTTCACTCTCTTCTCTGAAGTCTTTTAAACCTGATCAATGACTGCCCACAAGCTTTCATTTCTTCCTCACACCATCTCCTCCATGTCACCCTCACTCCCCCCCCCAAGCCCATCTTGTCGCTTCCCCTCCGGATCCCAGTCGAGTGCCTGGCCTGGTGCATGATGACCCCAGTCGGCCTTCTCAATGTATGCCCAATCCATCTCCACTTTCTTCGTGTGCATATTTGTTGGGTGATAGGTTGTTGGTTGGTTGGTTTGTTGCCAGAGTTCTTTGTTGCTTATTTTTATTATTCTGGTCATCTGATCTTCAGTATCGAGCGAGGGTAGGTAGCTGTTAATGAATGTGTGTAGTTTGTTTGAAATGCTTTTCGTGACGCGGCAAGTTTGTGAACCATCAGATAGCAGCACTGGCTTGATATTGGTGTTGAAAATGTGGATGTTGTTGACGCTTTATGCTGAGTGGAGTAGATCTCCACACTGACTTCAGATTAGTGAAAGCCTGTCTTGCTGTCTTTCCGATCCTGGCTTTGACATCCTTTCATGTGCCTGTGTCTCCTGTAGTTGAAATGATGCCGCTTAGGTAAGTGGGTAGGTGAAACAGACAACTTCCTTTACATTTCTCCCCTTCATGATGATTGGTGCTTCTTGTTATCGTTGTTGGTTGGGTATCTTCATCACCTCTGCCTCTGTCTTCTCTACGTTCACCTGAAGGAAGTTCCGTCTTCCCTGTCCAGCCTCTTCCGTCAACTTGTTATTTTCGTCTGTAGATTTCCAAGTTTGTGCTACAAGACATTAGACATAAATCATTGGCGAAATCCAAATTTTCTTCTGGGATCTTTTCATCACATCGGTCAAATAGCGTATGCCCCTCTTCTCATAGCTCCTCACAGTTTCTTGCATCATCCATTCCAGTCGAGTCGATCACAATCAGGAAGATGATGGGTGATAGTAGGCAGCCTTGTCTTACTCATGTCTTCACTTCAAAGACGTTGCTGAGCTTTCCATTGTGGATCACTTGGCTTGTGGCATCTTCATAAAGCTGTTGAATGAGGTTGATAAAGATTTATGGCACTCCGTAGTGTTGAAGCAACTGCCAAATTACTCCTCGGTCGACACTGTCGAAGGCCTTTTCAAATCGATGAAGTTGAGGTAGAGCGTTGGCTGCCATTCTACGCTCTGTTCTATTATGATGATGCGTAGTATAGCGTAGCGATTTCGTCCGCACATGATTTGTACTTTGTGAAGGCAGCCAGCCTGTTCGGTAGTAATTTTGAATCCAGAGTATCTTTTAGTCTCTCCAGGATGATGCAGCATAATATTTTGCTTGGACTGGACAGGAGCCTGATTCCTTGTCAGTTCTTGCAAAGGCTTATGTCTGCTTTCTTTGGGAGTTTGGCAAGGTAGCCCTCCTTCCAATCAATCTGCAGGTACCTTTCCTTCTTTGCAAACATTCTGCAATAGTGATGTGAATGTGTCCACTGCTGTCTCTGCGTCTGTTATCAATGTTTCCGGGAGAATTCCATCTGGTCCTGCCGCCTTCCCGGATTTCAGCAGTTTCATGGCATTCAGAACTTCTGATTTTTTGGAGAGCCGGTGTTCACTTATAGTTTTGCCGTTGCTAGTGATATGACCGATCCTTAAGCATATTATGAAGGCTTTCAACCATTAGTTCTTCCAACATATTAAGGATATCTTCCAAGTAGCTCTTACTCTGAACACCTCATGAACTACTTTCACTTCTAAGAACTTTGTGCATGATCTCAAAATTGCCTATTCACCCTGCTATCACTACTAATCAATTGTGATTTGGAAATGATTTCATGTGAAACAATTAACGTCATCATGTTGTTCATCTTCAACCGTCTTGGTTCTTTTTTTCTTTTCTTTCTAAGCTATATGATAATTGAAGTTGAATTGAAGTTAAAAACACACTAACAGTATTATTATTATTCATCTGTTTTTCTTCAGATCTGATGGAAATATGATGGGATTTGTGAATTTTTATTATCCTGGTCCTACAAATCCTCTTAGTTCACCAGGTACTACTTCTACAGGTGGATTTTTAACACCGACCAACTTTTATGCTAATCTACCACAGACACATTTTATGTTCAATTCATTACAAAATAATACATATCCATCTGTTGTTTTACCATCACATTTAACTTGTCAATCAAATAGTGGTATAAATCCTGGAATGAATACATTAACAACATCAACATCATGTTTAACAACATCTCAATTACCTTTACAATCTCATATCCCAACAATACCATCATTCTATTGGAATACAAATAATCTAAATTCATTAGTATATGATGGTCATATGAATTCGAGTATTACATCATTGAATAATTTTAATCAAATTAATCCCAATATGATATCAAGTCTCTTATCACAACCATCTGTTGAACAACAACAACAACAGTTACAGTTGACTCAAGGAAATCGTAAATTGAATGAATCCTCTGGTCTAAGTCCTTATCTTGATGTAAGAATAGTTGATTTTTCTATTATTTTTATAATAATCTAAAGTAGGTTTCACTTTCTTTACTTTTGTTTGTTTTACATCTCGTTGTCGGTTCTTATCAAAATCTCAGAGTCTTCTGAATATATTGAGCAGGACTAATTTCTGGCTACTCCTAATATTATAATAATAAGGAGTGTGAAGTGATGAAATGTGTCAACAACTTCACTTATTTGTGGATTTGTATCAGACGAAACAGGATTGTTACTTTCGAAATTTCAACTTGGATATAGAAGGTTTGTTGACGCCGACTGGCGAGATACCTGACCATTTATCAAAGGACGAGTATACTGTTCTGCAGTCTACTTTATCCTGTTATAGAGCTGTAAGACATGACCGTCGAAAGTAAAATATATGAGACGGTTACGGAGTTTTGATCACACGTATCTTCTTATCATTGCTTGCGTTTGGTAAAATTATCGATTAGGCGAAGGGTACTGGGCAAGTTAATCGATGAAGTTGTGAACCTTCATCGACTGAGGTGACTTGCACGTGTTTCGAACATGCAGATCGACCGTCTACCTCGACGTGTCATGCTAGGGAAAGTTGGTTCATCTACTTTGATATCACATCTTTCCCATCCATCTGTTCTTTGTGTACTATTGTGAAGTGTAGCAACGTGAGCCAACGACCGTGTGTGCGAGGTTCTACGTTGATTTTTTCTTTGTCTGTCAGCCTGTCGGTCTTGTTACCCTCAATTTACAGAACCAATGATCATACTTGTTTGTTATTGTAGCCTTGCCTCACTATTTCTTAAACTCTATTGCACAACACGATCTTTCACATTTACCTCTCCGTCTGAAAATAATTAAACGTTTATTGATACTTGTAATCTCGCATCTCTATACTGGATCCAATCGATCGACCTCCGTAGTATGATGCCTCAGTATTGCCTAAAGACCTATTATTGTTACACTTTGCTTCATGGTGGCTATCTAGGGAATCTAGGAGGTGTTTCGTCCTACTTGATGCTCATCAGCCGAATGTTCCTGTATCTTAGTGGTTGGTGTAGTTCGCACTGAAATTCGAGTCCGAGCACCCGTCGTTTGAAACGCCAGAGCGTAATCTACCACGTTACTGAGGCACTAACGTAATATGTGAGTTTCTGAAATCACTAATATCTGTACACTATTTTGATAATCCATAAAAGATCATTAATTAATCATAATATAGCTATAGATACCGTAGTATAATAGAGCATTATCATCGTGGATTAAAATATTCTACGCTGAATTATCTCTTTCACCTTGTGATGGTCATCGGTAATACTAAAAGTTTGTGTATTACCACAAGTAAATGAAACATGCGTTATACTAGTTGGGAGGTTGGTGTGAATTGATCGATTTCAAGATTGTGGTGAACTGGGTCATGCAGAAAGCTGTGAGGAGCTGTGAGAAGATGGTCATACGCTGTCTGACCAATCAAAAGACCACAGAAGAAGATTTGGATTTCGCCAACGATGATGATTAATATCTAATGTCTTATGTCGCACATTCACGAATATCTACAGGCAAAAACCAACAAGTTGATAGAAGGGATGAGGCAGAGCAACAAAGGAAGACAGGACTTCCTTAAGGTGAACGTAGAGAAGACAGAAGTAGAGGTGATGAAGATACCTAACCACCACCACCACCACTACCAACAACAACAAGCACCAATCACTATGAACAGGAGAAATGTAAAGGAAGTTGTCTCTTCCACCCACCCACCTACCTACCTACCTACCTAGACAGCATCTTCTTAACTACAGGCGGAGGCGGTGGCGGCACAGATGAGGATGTCAAAGCCAACCAGGATGGGAAAGACAACAAGACAGGCCTTCCTTCATTAATGTGAAGTAATCAGTGTTGTGATCTACTGCACTACACTCCACTCCATTGCACTCAGCATAAAACGTGAACAACATGTGGATTTTCAAGACTAAGTCAGTCAGTCAGTCAGTGAGTGGTTCTATGTGATGGATGGTTGAGAGACTTGGTGGCACGTTACGAAAAGCATTAGCGACAAACTTCAGCCATACATCATGAACAGGTGCTACGTGTGCGTATTTGATACTGAAGATTGATGAGATGGATGATCAGAATAATTGTAATAAGGAAGGTGGAACTCTGACTGACTGACTGGCTGACAACGAACCAACCAACAGAAGACGTATCACCCAACAACTATGCAGAGGAAGAAAGTAGAGATGGATTGAATTGGGCATATGCAAAGAAGACCAGTTGGGGATATCACGCGTCAGACCATGCCCTCCAGTGGAAGCCAAGTGGGAAACGACGAGTTTGGCGTGCGAGACGAGAGTGACATGGAGGAGATGGTGTGAGGAAGAAATGGTAGCTTATAGGTAATCGTCGAGCTAGGTTAAGAAAACTGTAAGAAGAGAGTGAAATGGCTACGTGGTAGTGAAGTCGCATGTTCCACTAGGAACATTAAGCATAAATAATAATGATAATAATAGTAGTAATAACTCATCACCAAATGACATCAGTTGGGGAAGCCTTTGAAAATCTGGGATCACTGGATTTCTGTTTCATTCTGATGTTGGAATCTTCACCAGTGCTCGCTTATGGCCACATCAACGATCTGATAACTCTAGACGTTTAGGTCCTACGGGGACCATGCAGTAATTCAGCTTAGTCCTATACTAAGACGAAACAACTCTTCTACGTTCTTAGATTTTCCACGGTTTCCCAAATGATGCCAGTCTAAAAAAAATCAATTTTTCTTGAATATAAGTGTAAAATTTGGGCACTGTAGTAGAATATAATTCCATATTACATTTGCTTATTTGATCCATAACACACATTGAGTAATACAGTATTTAGCGAAGAGGACTCTTTTCAAGGAATTTATTCACAAGCTGTACATTCGTATATACATAAGATATTAAAGACTGTAATCCATGAGGAAGATTTAACTGAAATAATGGGAGGTTGGAACAATAATACTGATGGTGGTGATAATTATAATGTTGATAGTTGATGACGTAAAGGTCGGAATGGTAACAAAAAGGGGTTATGTAAGACTTTCAAATCGTTTATAAAGTGCATACAGATTAAAAAGGGGTGAGAACGTTAATAAACAATCAAAGGATTAAGTGATATAAATAAGACAAGTTAATTGGAGTAAATTGAAAATCTCTTATTAAGAGTTGCGATAATTAGGAAGATCAAATGACCAAATAACACCGGAAACAATTAAATACAAAAAACACAGTGATAATGACAATATAAGAGTACAAAGATTAATCTGACAATGAAGGTGGAAGGGGGGTGAAAACCGAAAAAATGACGAAGCCTACCAAGACTAAAATAAATTAAGGCCAAGGAAATAATAATATTAAGTCACAGAGACAAAGACTGTACGTACTTCTTTTGCACACAAAAGTCAGACTTCAGTTCATGGATAGCCAAGGCCTCTGCGATATATATATATATATATATATATATACTGGGTGATGGTTGAAGGTTAAATGAAAATTTCGACCGTGGCCGGACTCGAACCAGCGACCAACGGGTTTCCGGGTTGCAGTCTTTAAATACCATTTATATATACGAATGTACAGCTTGAAATAAATTCGTTGAAAAAGAGTCCTCTTCGCTAAATATCTTGTTTTTGATGTCACAATGGGAATAATAAATGTATTACAGTATTATACACTCGTTGACGACGTTTCGAGCATAAATTATCACCGCTCATAATCATATCAATGTAATCACAATCCACTTTCGACATCTGGTTCTTTTATAGTCCTGTCAACTCATATGATTTGTTTTTATTCATAGTAAAATCTTCTTCATCTCTGGTATAAGTGTTGCGTCATTCTTATTACATGTGTTATGTGTTGATTCGATGAACAAAGATTCAGTAATCAATCCCTCCTTCTCTCCACCTAATTATATTGGACTTGAGTATAGTGGCTTTATCCCATCCATCCTATTGTGTGGTTATATGTTAATGCATGCATTACAATAGCCGAGTTTTTTTCTAGACTATTCATCTTATTTAGGTCTGTTATTCTATGTTTAGCTAAATTTCTATGTTCGCCTATTCTAACTGACCCCGATCGACTAGTTTCACCTATATACTTGATCTGAATCACAGTCATTACATGGAATTCGATAGATTAGATTATTTTGCTGAATTAGTTCTATAGGATCCTTAAGCCAGCCGACAAAGTTTATCTCAGAGTGATTTTTTAGGTTTAAATGCCACCCTAATTCCAGCTTTGTTGAGAATTCTACGTAAGGTTAGTGATGTACCTTTCTTATGTGGTAACACAATGGAGACTGTGAACTCCTTTCTATTTGTGTTGTCATTATTATTCGTACTCATGTTACTGTTATCATTTGGTTTGTTGTGTGTTCGTACGAATTTCTTGATAAACTGCAGAGGATAATTATTAACTATTGGCGCCTTTTTTACGTGTTTCAGTTCCTTGTTTAGGTCGTTGCACTGACTAGTCAGTTTTCTAACTCTATCATTATTTTATTTTATGCTATCCAAGCTATACTGCCTTAGACCACCCATCGTATAAACATAAATAGTGCAAATTAGCAGCTAGGAACTTTGGACTGATCCTGTCTGTATCTTGTATGATGATAAAAGTTGGCAGTAAATACAAAACACCAAGGCATCTCAGCTGAGATAGTCTCTCATTCACTGAATGGTACCTATATATGTTCTATGAAGAGGACTTTATGTCCGTCATCATCAGTATTTCACATTCAATGGTTCCACTACATATATACTCACACATATACATGGTGCTATACATCAAAAGGCATCAGTGATGCAAATGTTCCCGTCTAAGACTTCGTACTATTCTCAGTTTACTTCCAATTCAATCCAATACAGATTGATGCATGAGACTGAGTCATACCTTTTGTTTGATAGCTTATGATACTATTCAGTTGTCAAGGATGATATAAGCACTCGATTCGCAACCGTTGGTTGATGAATTTGAACCCCGTTTCACCCAGCAAGGTCTGAGCAGCCAAGTAGTATCACAAGCCCTGATTAAGTAAGATATGGTTCCATTGAATGTAAGTGCATTTCGAATCGATTTTTTGATTCAATCTTCCTAGCTGAAGCAACTGAAACGGGTTTAGAACCTGAAACTTATGACTTCAGAGTTTATTGCTTGTATGTATCAATTAAATCTCCATTCAATTAAATTTTGAGGGAGTTGTGGAGATTTGGAAATATTTCAAGTTGTTATTCATCGTGAGCTGGACAGAAGTTGGAAATATGGAGCATTGGATTCTGATCCAGTGGCTCAATGATAACGCGCTGGCCGCGGAACCTGAAGGTCGCGGGTTCGATCCCTGGCGGGGTTATGGGTGTGCACTGCTGAGGAGTCCTATACTATGACGAAACAGCTGTCCAGTGCTCCCAGGTTTCCTTTGTTCCTCCAAATGATGTCAGTCTACGATGAATAACAACTTGAAATATACATCCAGTTTGTTTGGTATTATCTAAATATTTTATTCATTTGTAAACATTCATAGTTATTGAAGGCTTATTGTATTGCTGTGACTGACAACTTTCTTCTCTGTTTCCTTGTTTATATATTGTAAGCGATACTACCTTGATTGAAGTGAACCTCTTAGAAAGAATTCATAATCAATTATTCTAGGTGAATTTCCTATTATTAAAACATTAATTTTAAAGGTTTATAAGGATTTATTTATTGATTCCAGATTAGTATTCATCATTAATTGACATCAACTTGAGAAACATTGAAAATTTGAGAGGATTGGACAACTGTTTTGTTCTAGTAGGATAACTTCTCAGCAGTGCTCACCCATGAACCCCACCAGGGGGTTGAACTCAGAATCTTGAGGTTCCACAGCTAGCATGTTATCATTGAGCCAATAGGTTGTAATCTAATGGACCATATTTCCTTACTTCTGTTGTTTATTGCCAGTTTTATTTTTACAAAAAACAACTAATCATTTTTGTTCAATTTTTCTATTTCCTTGACTAACTTTCCTTCACATATTAGTTGACGTCAGAAATTGGTGCTAAAGAATACATGCGAGGTCTGTTGGCTCGTAAATGGGTTATGGAATCGTATAAAAAGAAAAGTATGTTTATATTATATAGATATTTGTCATAAGTGTGAATTAAGCCTGATTGTTGTATGTTGACAATGTTTTATATATATATATATATATATATATATATATATATATATATGTGTGTGGCGGTTTTATGCATATGGACTTCATAGCTAACCATGGTACATTGTTTATCAGTGCACTATGTATCAAATTTCTACAACCAGCCAACGGGGCATATCGACAACCTGGATAGAACCGATATCCCCCATGAGATACGAATACATGTCACCTTATGGTCAAAGTTGTTATAGCTGGAGCCATTCAGATCACGATTGACTTACTGTGGAACTAGATTAGCTACACTGACTAGTCACTGGAGGGCATCGAATTTCATGTTGTTTAGTCTTATATGTTGACTGACTTTTATGGAGCATTTCGCAAAGTAACCAAGCTAAGCTAAGAGGATTCTCCATCTTGGTTGTATTGTGTTCTCTAAGCTGGTTTGTTTAATCATGAAGCTTTATCGTCCTTCTAGACGACATCATCAACTACAGCAGCAACAACCCAACAACATACAAAATTAGTTGCGTGTAGACTCTATTCAAGAGAGCGAAAACACACTGCACTACAACAACACGCAAAAACGAAGGAAATTACTTGATGTCCATCCTAAAGAAGAATGGCTACCCACAAAACTTTATCAGTACATGCCTATCCCGTACATTATCAACTACAAAGTCATCGACAGAAATCAATAAACACATCATCCTACTGTACATAAGTAATATATCAGAAATCACAATAAGATTACTGAGACCAATTGGAATTGGTGTGGCTGGCTAATAAACCAATAAATTCCTTTCAAATACTATAATGCAGACCAAAGGATACAACAACCAAAGAAGACAAACCGATTATCATTTACAAAATCAAGTGCAATCGCTATAGTCAGTTAACAATACATTGGACAAAATGGTCATCCTCTTCGCCTTCGTCTACATGAACACCAATTAGCTATTGAACATCATATACGATTTGATCAACAACATTTTCAATGATATCAAGTTCATAATGGAGGAGTCAAACAACCAACTGCCATTCCTGAATACTTTAGTCAGTTGAACTAGAAACCTAAGTGTACAGGAAGCCAACACATACTGATCAAATCCTCAACGTAAAAAATTAGTTGCATGTAGACTTTATTCAAAAGAGCTAGAACACACTGTACTACTACAACAACAACACGGAGAAACGAAGAACATTACTTGATGTCCATCCTAAAGAAGAATGGCTACCCACAAAACTTTATCAGTACATGCCTATCCCGTACATCATCAACCACAAAGTCATCCACAGAAACCAACAAATGCATCATCCTATCATAGATGGAGAATATATCATCATTATCAACATAGGACCAGGCATTACTGCCTCACGGTCCGAGTTGCCACACCTCATATCAGCACACCAAGTAAAAAGGTAGTGACGTGAAGGATGAAGATAAGTGAATGCAGTCAAAAGAAATATAAAGTACGAGAAGAAAAGAAAGAGGAGTGACAAAATGGTGAGATTCGGTATAGCCTCCTTAAGATGAGGATAATGTGTGTATACATCTGCTCCACTGACTTCGGTTCTGAGCCATATCACCTAGGGTCTCCAACCACTGGTTCCTCTTGTCCCGTGGACCCCAACCACCTAGTCCGCATCGTCCTACATGGCTTAAACCAACAGTCAGAGACTTCATACATTGGTGCCATGTTTTAGTCTGGCCACCTCGAGCCTTTTTCCAGCCTGAACCCACCTCAGCCAACATTGTGTGACGAGGCAATCGGTGACTAGGCATATGTAGTACGTGTCCCAACCATCTCAGTCGATGAAGGTTCACAACCTCGTCGACTGACTTACCTCTTCTCCCTAAAACTCTACACCTAACTTCTGCATTACTCACGTGGTGACACCACGGAATACGTCCTATACTACGAAGGCAACGGTGGTCAAACACCTGAAGCCTTTTTGTATCCTCCACTTTCAATGGCCATGTTTCACAACCATACAGTAGAACAGAGCGGACTGCTGTGCAGTACACGCGACCCTTAATAGACAAACGAATATCACGGCGGCGCCATAGGTGGCGCAAATTGACAAAAGCCAACCGAGCCTTTTGTATCCGTGCAGAAATCTCAGATGGAGAATATATCATAAATCACGACAGGACTACTGAAACAAACCACTTGGAATTGGTGTGGCTGGCTCATAAACCAACAAATTCCCTCCAAACACTATTATGCAGACCGAAGGATGCAACAACCAAAGAAGACAAACCGAATATGATTTACAAAATCAACTGCATCCAATTACTGTAGTCAACACTACACTGGACAAGGTGGTCTCCCACTTCTCCTCCGTCTTCGTCTACATCAACACCAATCAACTGTCAAATGTCACGACATTTCATCACTCATTTCAATGCATGTGGATAACAACAATGGATATGAATTGAATTTCGACAATGTAGAGATCTTGGATGGAGAAAGGAAATACAAAGAATATCAGAGAACTCCTAGAAGCTTGGTGTTCACATCAGTCAGTCAGCAATCAATAAATGTGTAGACATCAACTTATATGAAAGATGATGGATGACGATGAAAGCTCCACAATTAAACAAGCCAGGTCATCGAACATAATTACAACCAAGACCATCTACCTGACCTACATTTATTCTCCACTACTTCAAAAGTATACGAGGGTTCAGCGTCGTATGATGCACTTTGATAGATGTCATCCATATTTTAGATGATATTTATTTATCGAGTTCAAAGAGTCAATTTTTTGAAATTGTCATTCATAAGCTAAGTTCATCTTTGCCAATAATCTTCGTCTTTTTGTAAATGTTGCGCATAGAATTTTCCACCATCAAGTCATATGAATTCAGAGTTGACTTCACTTTATATTACTGAATGATTATTATTATCAACTGGCTATACAGTCTGTTTTGCTGTATCAAGTTAATAAAGGAAGGTCTGTCTTGTTGTATTTCTCACCCTGGCTGGCTTTGACATCCTCATCTGTGCCACCGCCGCCTCCGCTTGTAGTTAAGAAGATGCTGTCTAGGTAGGTAGGTAGGTAGGTAGGTGGGTGGGTGGGTGAAAGAGACAACTTCCTTTACATTTCTCCTGTTCATAGTGATTGGTGCTTGTTGTTGTTGTTGTTGGTAGTGGTGGTGGTGGTGGTTAGGTATCTTCATCACCTCTACCTCTGTCTTCTCTACGTCCACCTGAATGAAGTCCCGTCTTCCTTGGCTGCCCTGCCTCGCTTCTTCTGTCAACTTGTTGGTTTTTGCCTGTAGATCTTCGCGTTTGTGCGACATTAGATATTAATGATCATCGTTGGCGAAATCCAAATCTTCTTTTGTGGTCTTTTCATCGCATCAGTCCAGCCAGCAAGCGCCCATCTTCTCACAGTTTCTTACATCATCCAATCCAGTCCAGTTTAGTTGACCACAATCAGGAAGATGATCAGTGGTAGTAGGCGTCAACCTTGTCTTACTCGTATCCCCTGTCTTCACTTCAAAGGCATCACTGAGATTTCCATTGTAAATCACTTGGCATATAACATCATCATAGGTTTGGCATATTGCTGCCTACTTACTGCACGAAAGTACACATGGTTACTGAGTGAATTTGGATTTGTTTACTGGTTACAGTTGTTATGTAGGCAAAAAAACCCTATTTTTCGTTTCAAAAATTGTAGACTCTATACGATCACGGGAACACACACTGACACGAACAGTGATTTCGGCTAAAATGTAAATTTTAACAAACAAATATTGTTCACATTGTTTGTTTTATGCGAAAGTATTAATTTGTTGATATATTGTAAATAATAAATATTTTTGAGATGAATGGGGATTTTTAATTTAGAAGTAGCATTCATCATGGACTGACATCGGTTGGGGAACCATTGAAAATCTGGGAGCACTAAAAGCTGTTTCCTCCTAGTATGGGACTCCTCAGCAGTACGCACCAGTACGCCGCGTGACCTGTGGGGTCAACCAGTCGGAAGTGAAGTGGATGCTAACTAAAGACCTTGGGTGACAGTCGCGCTATGTCGTGAATTGACAGAAGTTGGAAATTGTGAACCACTGGGAACCGACCCAGTGGATGAATGGTTAACACGTTCGCCATGGAACCTGAAGGCCCTGAGTTCTACCCCTGGCCGGGTCGTGGGTGTATACTGCTGAGGAGTCTTATACTAGGACGAAACAGCTGTCCAGTGCTCCCAGATTTCCAATGGTTCTCCAACTTATGTCAGTCCATGATGAATACTACTTCTAAAATAAATATTTTTGTTTATTTATATTTCTCAACAGTTAGCTTCGTCACCATAATATTCTAAGTATGATTTGACTATCTAAGATAACTGTAGTTTGGCAGACTAGTATTTGTACTGGGTGATGATTGAAGGTCAGATGAAAATCTGGACTGGGGCCGAATTCGAACCAGCGACCACCGGGTTACCAGCCCGGTACTCTGGTAGCTTAGTTGGTAGAGCACTGGGTCGATAACCCAGTAGTCGCTGGTTCGAATCCGGCCTCAGTCCAGATTTTCATCTCACCCTCAATTATCACGCAGTACAAATATTTTAAGTGTTTGTTTGTTTGTTTTGAAAAATAATGTTCATAAACTGCTAATTAATATTTTCTTTGAACTATGAATAATATGTGTTGCGTATGTAGTAGATATTAACGGGTAACTCATTAGCTTGATACTCAACCCTTAACTAGACGATTATCTGTTCCATTATTGTATGTATAATCGAGGGACCTGCATCTGATTTCCCAATTGCCATTATGCATATTATCCAATCATGTTGTGAAATTGTGAACCTTAGTCGACTGTCATGGTTTGGACATGTACTGTTCATGTCAAGCTACCGCTTACCTCTATGTGCCATGCTAGAGAAAGTTGGGTTAGTTTGTAAGATGTTTCAGGGTAGCCAGACTAACACGTGGCACCAGTTGATGAAGACCCTGACTATTGGTATGAGCTGTGTGGTGAGATGTAGACTACCTGGCTGTCGTATCTGAGAAGATAAAAATCAGAGTTTGATAAGGACATTAATTTTGTCTGTCTGTCTGTCTATCTATGGAGTTGTGACTCATTGATTCAAGCAGTTGACTTCTAACCAATAGGCGATCGGTTGTGAATCCACTCCGTTTACTAATATCCCTCTGTCCGCCATCGTGTAATAAGCGTGATTTATCATTTCAACACATTAACTCACATTTGGGTGGTAAATCATATATTTCATTATTTCATAAACAATGTTATCCAGTCTCCCGAATCTGAGTCCCAGTGGGAATAACATCACTCACTGGGGAGGCAGGTCCATCCAGTTTACTGGATTCCACTGCTAGCCACTATTCATCTTTACTATAATGTTATCCAGTAATTTTACTAATTAGAGGTGAATATTCCCTTGTGTTTGAGACTTCATAGTTCGGACGTATCTGTAATCCAAGCCTTGTACATAGTACTTCAACTGATCCAGTAAATTATTAACACTTTGACACAAATGAGTCATCAGCTGGAATCTCCTTCTCCCTTAAAAGATTTTCATTTTCGTGTTAGATTACCATCGGGCTTTTATGCTCTAAATCTGATCAGACTTGACACAAATGCTTAACTCTACTCAATCCAATATGGTTCATACATGTGTGTCTGAATCACCTAAGTCGTTGAAAGCTTGCAACTTCATCCAATATTCATCGTATTGTTCTACAATGTCTGGTTTTGATCAAAAACTTCTAGCCTTGGGTTGTTTAACTTTATTGAGTGTGTTTGACAGTTATAAGTGACTTTGGTAGATCGTTGGATAACTATTATTATGTTATTATTTGTCCCCTGGGGTTCCTAGTGGAACATACAGCTTCAGTAGCACGTCTCCATTTCACTCTCTTCTCTGAAGTCTTTTAAACCTGGCTCCACGACTGCCCACAAGCTTTCATTTCTTCCTCACACCATCTCCTCCATGTCACCCTCACTCCCCCCCCCCAAGCCCAACTTGTCGCTTCCCCTCCGGATCCCAGTCGAGTGCCTGGCCTGGTGCATGATGACCCCAGTCGGCCTTCTCAATGTATGCCCAATCCATCTCCACTTTCTTCGTGTGCATATTTGTTGGGTGATAGGTTGTTGGTTGGTTGGTTTGTTGCCAGAGTTCTTTGTTGCTTATTCTTATTATTCTGGTCATCTGATCTGATCTTCAGTATCGAGCGAGGGTAGGTAGTTGTTAATGAATGTCTGTAGTTTGTTTGAAATGCTTTTCGTGACGCGGCAAGTTTGTGAACCATCAGATAGCAGCACTGGCTTGATATTAGTGTTGAAAATGTGGATGTTGTTGACGCTTTATGCTGAGTGGAGTAGATCTCCATACTGACTTCAGATTAGTGAAAGCCTGTCTTGCTGTCTTTCCGATCCTGGCTTTGACATCCTTTCATGTGCCTGTGTCTCCTGCAGTTGAGACGATGCTGCCTAGATAGGTGAAAGAGGCTACTTCCTTTACATTTCTCCCCTTCATGATGATTGGAGCTTGTTGTTGTTGTTGATGGTGGTGGTGGTTGGGTATCTTCATCACCTCTATCAGTTGGATAGTTAGCTAAGGTGGATCTGATATCGATTAGTTGTTAACATTATCTTCATGTTCATCGTTCAATGTTTTGATGACTGTCCATTAGCTACATTTCAAAATGTATTTTCATAAAATACATTCTTGTTTATTTTCTTTTACATTTATATATATATATATATATATATATATTTATATATATATATATTTATATATATATATATATATATGTTTATACATCTATCTATTACAGCATCTGTTGGCCGACGTAGTTGGAAGTTGTATTATGCAAGACTACGTGATCTTGTATTATATCTGTATAAAAATGTGAATGTGGCGAATGCTGCAACACGTGCTGAAGAATTGCATAATCTTCATTATCATCACCAACAACAACAACATCAAAATTATGTACAACAGTTACTCATTCACCACCACCAACAACAACAGCAACAGCAGCAGCACTTTATGATACTTCAACAACAACAACAGCAGCAACATCAACAGTATCATTTACAAAAACATGCTAATACGGAGGAGGAGGAAGAAGAAGAAGAGGAAAACGATGACGAAGAAGAAGAAGATGTGAACACTGACTATACTGATGATGTGAATGGTGGTGGTAATTGTGAGGATGTTAAACATTCTGATGAGATAAACCAAAAGAAGAATAATCACATTAATAAACATAATGATTCACATGTAAATAGTACTGAAGTGATCGTTTCAATGGGGAAGAATCTTCTTACTACTGTCAATAGTGTAGAAAGCCAATCAGTGTGAGTTGTTTTTTCGTATGATTGTTGTTAAGTTGACTCTATGTGTTATAGACTGTTGACTTATAAATATTTAGAATTGTTGGTCAATGTCTTAAGGAGTAGAATTTTAAGAAATATAATCTCTTAGACTGGATACTACAGTTATCAATCAGTGGGTGGATAGTATAGGTGTAAAACTTGGGCATTGTGTGGTAGAATTTTAATTCCATATTAGATTTGTTTATTTGATTTATTTCAAACAGTTAGTCCCTTTTTAGGAATTTCGATAGGGTAATTAGAAGATGCAGTTTATCTGAACAGTGTGGCTGGTGTATTTGCGTAATACACATTTCGGACAACCTGATACCTCACACATAGTTACTTGTCTCAAGTCAGTATATACTAAACGGATGAGTGGGAGGGGAGACAAATAGAACAATTAGCACAAGCGGGGGATTAAAATTAAGAAAGATGAAGACGAACAGGAAGAGAGACATAGTTGATCCTAATCTTGGTAAGAAAACAAAGTTTATCAAGGGGTAGGTGTAGTATGTAAGAACAAACTGTTTTTGTACACATTAAGGTGATTTCAATTTGTGTATGACTATGGCTTCTACAAATCTCAGAATACGTCCCTGACTGTTTCTATATAAAACTTGGAAAGCTGTTTGAACATTAACTTTGTAACCTGTTTCTATGATATGTTTAACTATAGATGAAGATGGTCGTCTCCCACCAGCGTTTATTACTGTTTCACACTCCATTTGTTTTCGAAGCCATTTAGGCACATGTTCTCCCACCTTCAACTGCATAACTCGATTACTCCTCCCTATGTATCTGTGACCACACACACATGTAAATTGGTAAACACAATGGGATGTGACATAACCAGTGATGCAGTATTTAGGTTTTCGGTGAAGTATGTGTTTTGTTTTCTCCACAATGATAAGATTCGCCGCGTAATATGTCTCAAAATGATACTAAATAACTTCCATCTGTATGGTAGAGTGATATGGAGTTGGCTTCGGGGCTACTTGACCTCTCTACAGTGGTTTATAAACTTTACTGGATATCCAATTTCTATAAGTGCTTTGATCAGTAATTTGATCATCTACAGATCAACATATTATAGAAACAGGTTACAAAGTTGATGTTCAAACAGTTTTCCAAGTTTTATATAGAAACAGTCAGGGATGTATTCTGAGATTTGTAGAAGCCATAGTCATACACAAATTGAAATCACCTTGAAGTGTACAAAAACAATTTGTTCTTACATATTACACCTACCCCTTGGTAAACTTTGTCTCAAGTTGTTATTCATCGTAGACTGACATCAGTTGGAGTAACAAAGGAAACCTTGGAGCACTAGATAGCTGTTTCGTCCTAGTTTGGAACTAGTCATCTGTACGCACCCACGACCCCGCCGAGGGTCGAACCCGCGACCTTAGTTTTCTTACCAAGATTAAGATCAACTATGTCACTCTTCCTGTTTCTTCTCATCTTTCTTAATTTTAATCTCCCTGTTGTGTTAATTGTTGTATTTGTCCCCTCACTCCTCGATGGCAAGTAAATGTGTGATCAAATTGTTCGAAATGTATTGCGTAAATACATCACACACATTGTTCGAACTACGCTATAGATATTTAATTTATAACACATAGTGATTGTTACACTATTATTTACTAGATGATGATGTTTCGAGCATAATTTATCATTGTTCATAATCATGTTAATGTAATCACACTCCACTTTTGACTTCTGCTTTTTATAGTTCGATCACATCATATTCTTTGTTCTTAGTGGTAATAAAATGTTCCATATCTGTTGTCTAGGTGTTACATCATTCCTATTAGATAGGTTGAGTGTTGATTCGATGAACAAAGATTCAGTAATCAACCCCCCTCTCTCTCTCTCTCTCCACTTAATTATATTGAACTCCAGTACAGTGGTTTTATCCCATCCATCCTATTGGTTCTATTGGATTCTTAAGCCAGGTGACAAAGCTTATCTCTGATTGATTTTTGTAGGTTTAAATGCTACCCTAATTCCAGCTTTGTTGAGGATCCTACGCAAAGTTTCTAATGCACCTTCTTTATAAGGTAACACAGTCGAGGCTATGAACTTCTTTCTACTTGTCTCGTCGTTATTATTCATACTTGTGTTACTGTTATTATTTCTTTTTTTATGTTCTTACGAATTTCTTAATAAACTGCCGAGGATATTATACTATAACACTGTGTATTATAAATGAACAAATCTAATGTAGAACAGTGGATGATTGGTTCGAATCCTGCCCCAACTATAGAAATCTTGTCCAAAAATCTCACACTATTTGTATGACTCATTGCCGCCTACTACTCAAATGTGCAAGTGGCTGCTGAGTTGTGTTCGTTTTACCTTTGATTAGTGGAATTCACCTTTGATGTAATTCATAGAATTCTAAATTTATCAAAGTGTATTGATGATGATGAAATTTCCTCAGTGGTTGGAAATAATCATTTAGGGAATTAGAGGGATCTTAGTGCAAAATTATTCTTACGTATTATATGTCAGAGAATAATTGGGCATTCTACTTCATCATCATATTCAGCGCTTATATGCTTATGATATTATCTTCTTCTAGGGAATCAAATTGTATCCTTTCGATTCATATATTTGCGTTTCTATGAGTTGCTTGTTTTTACGAAAACCAACTGTTGATTAGGTCTTAAATTCACTACAGTCGCTGACTTTGTCAAGCTAAGAGTTGTTGGACTTCATGAATTAGGAAACTATGACTCTCTTGAGGGTGGCCAAATGCCTCATCATGAAGTAAATGACGCGGATGAACGCCTAGCTGACAGCGTACACTTAGTCTTCCTTGGTTAGATATCTGGCTTGTTGGTGATTGTAGTGCCTAATGTATTTCAAGCTTAGTCACGGGACGATGGACCTTCCCCTGCTGATAAGAAGATATCAACTTACGAACCGACTCACCTTATTCCCATCCAGTGCTTGGGTTTCTAACTGAGGAAACCTTCTTAGCGTAGGTAATGGCGGAGCCACTCAGATGAGGCACTTAACCCGTTTGCTTGTTCACATGTGTAACGTGCTTCGCCGAACGACAGGAGAGTGTCCAAGCACATGCAATGTATAATGAACGTAGGGCTATATTTCTGTTATTTCCCTTTAGTTGGCCAGCGTACTCACTTATATCTCTGGTGTGGGTTGTATGTCAATGATGAGATCCATTTTGGTGATTGCACCAGTGGTTGTTATCGAATCCTCAAACCGATGAGGCTTTTGTCCTCCCTCCTAATTCAGAATGAGTTTTCGGAAGCAGTTACTGATTGACTCCTGAAACTGGTCAGTTTGTCTGCTACCACCACCTTACTAACCGAGGGGATAGGGGGATTGGTACTAGTCGAGAGATGGCTATAAGATGCGGTGAACCTTAGCGCGATAACCCAGGTTGGGCACTTGATGCCGTTCCAGCTAAGGAGGCCTTCTTCATTAGTACAATTGCATGACCTATTATGTACTTCGTTTTCATGTATATGCACCTAATTGGAAGCCGATCCATTGGTGGGTGACATTGAAGTGATCTTAAGTTAGGCTGTTAAACTCAGGATAACTAAACTTCATGAATATCAAAAATTTACAATAATGATTTGTTTTTAGTTCTTATGAAGGTATATCATGAACATATAGTTACAGAATACAACGTTGGAATAGAACATGTCTAATAGACATAGCTTCACATGATATCCTAACAAATCCTTAGATCAAGTTGTTATTCATCGAAGACTGACATCAGTTGGAGGAACAAAGGAAACATGGGAGCACTGGACAGCTGTTTCGTCCCATTTGTATGGGACTCCTCAGCAGTGCGCACCCACGACCCCACCAGCAGGGATCGAACCCGCGACCTTCAGGTTCCGCGGCCAGCGCGTTACCATTGAGCCACTGGGTCAGAACCCAATGCTCCATATTTCCAACTTCTGTTAGCTCACGATATAGCGCAAACCGCCACCCAATGTCATCGTTGAGTATCTGTCCTCACGGCCATCAGGCTTTGACTCCACCGGTCACGACTTGTCATTGGAACCTCGGGAATACTTCTCGAAGCTAGTCACCAATGAGCATCAGTTCAATTAAATTTTTGAGGGGGTTGTGGAGATTTGGAAATATTTTAAGTTGTTATTCATCGAAGACTGACATCAATTAGAAGAACAACTGATGTCAGTCTTCGATGAATAACAACTTGAAATATTTCCAAATCTCCACAACCCCCTCAAAAATTAAATCCTTAGATGACTGAAGTGTAATTAAAACTTGACCATTGAATAGATGTCATACATCAGCTGATAAAACACTACATCAATAATTTAGAAGCTGATAGTTGAAATATTACAGTCACTTTGCTTTCATTTCATCTTCGACTATTACTTTTCAATTGAATCCCATTGTCATTATTGAATATTGGATCAGCTTTTAATGTCTGTTTTCATAGACAGCTTACTCATATATCCTTTTATTCCGATTTGTACACTTTGTTTGTAAATTACATTTTAACACTTATAGTTTCATCTAAAACAATTAGTTCCCTTGATAAACTTCGACAAAACAGACAATTTACGTCTTCTTATAGTTTCATCATTAATTTTTTTTCTATTATGCAGAACTACTGTTCCCCTAGATGGTACTACTTCATCGAAACAGTCAACTTTTTCTACAGAAAGTTCAAAATCTAGTCCAACTGAATATGATACTTCAAATGTTGTACAGATTTCATCGAAAGAGACATCTAATGAAACTTCGATATCAAGTACACAAATTCCATTTCCTTCAGTAGTACAAAGTTTTATTACAAGTAGTACAATGGCTTCATCTTTGTCTACTGCAGCTACTACAGTTACAACTGTTACTACATCGACCGCTGCTGTTCCAATTGCATTTGTTCCTCAACCAATACCTATGACTACACCATCATTTGTACTACCTCCAATCCCTCCACCTGAAACAGTTATACGTATAGCTCATGCTTATGCGTGTAGAGCTACAGACTATGTGAAAAAATCAAATGTATTTCGTCTACGCACTAAAGAAGGAGCAGAATTTCTGTTTGAAGTGAAGTAAGTTTTTGCTATTCACATTCATAAATCTACTTCCTTTTTTCAATGGTTATTAGTAAGTAAAATAAAAAGGAGGAAATATTTTGTTGTTTACTTTATGATAGAAATAATCATTTCCTTCTCCTTATGTCACTTCATGGTTACTATTTATATGTATACCATTACAGGCTTAAAAAAACTTCATCATAGTCGTTCTCTGAGTGTTAGACAGATAGACAGACAAAATCAACAAATCCCCATAAACTCTTGAATTGAATTAGTCTAACACTTTTTGGTTACTATCTTCAAGAGGTGATTCCTGAAGTTCCCATGAGAAGTCGTGACCGATTGGGGCAAATCGGGTGCACATGAGGACAAATACTCAACGATAACACTAGCTGGTGGTTGTACTGTGTTGTGAACTAAAAAAAAATTTGAAATATGGACCATTGAATTCCTATCCAGTGGGTCAATGGTAACATGCTGACCCCGGAACCTTAAGGTCCCGGGTTCGATTCCTGGTGAAGTCGTGGGTGCGCACTGCTGAGGAGTCCTATACTAGGACGAAACAGGTGTCCAATGTTCCTTTAACTCATATCAGTCTATGATGAGTATCAACTTGAAATCAATAAATCTCTACAAACCCCCAAATAGAAAAAATTGACGTAGGACCTCGTATACAAGTTCAAATGCCACACTTCACAGAAGTATGCAAAGAACAGGTGGATAGAAAAGATGTGATATGAATGTACACAAATTTGTGTAAGAGAATAAACAATTTGAAGATAAAGGATAGTGTAAATATTCAAGCTTCAGAAAACGTCGAGTGAATACAGCTATACCATTGTGACCGGTTTTTAGCCATGTCACCAAGAGTCCTTATCAACAGCTGATTCCTATTGTCTCAGAGATCCTAACTAGGTTGTGTACATCTCCTCACACGTCTCAGACCAACAGTCAGGCACTTCATCGACTCATTCTGCCGGTTGACTTTTGACATCAGCTTTCTGCAGAATGTCATCGCTGTCAAAGTTAAAGAGGAATGAGGAAATCTGGCAACCCTGTGTAACTTCACTATTGATGTAGAACACTGGACATAGGGAGCTGTGGACTTTTATTTCACCTGAGCTGTTGAAGTAAAATCCTTTCGAGATGTTAAGAAACTTCTCTGACACATTCCTCTCTACTATGCAATTCTACGTCCTTGTGGGATTAATGAAATTCAGTTGGAATATGTACAAATACAATGATCGTTGACCTCCAATACATGTGACAGTGTTCAAGCATCTGTCGAAGAGGAACACGTGATCAGTGCATCCACGATCTGAACAAAATCCGATCTGATTTTCGCGGGTCAGTTTCGTTATGCTTTCGAACGCTAATGCTTATATATACCGAACGATATAATGCGCACGCTTAGCTGACAGCTAACTGAGTACGCAAGAACCACTGACTGTAACTCCGGAACGAATACAGAGAAGCCCGAAACTGGCAGATGGAAGAGTTTATTACCAAAAAAAAGTTCATCGTCCAGCGTTTTCACAATTAATCCAAAACACGTGAATAAGTATAGACATGAAATGACCTTGTCCGCAATTGGTGTGGGAATGACATGTTAAAATGTTCAGATCAATAACAATGTTTTAAACAAAACTGAGGCATCACAACAAGTTTCCTATGCGTTTTGCATAACCTGCGAAGTATGATAGTGCCAAATACCTTGAATACCAGAGGTACTTGAATGATACTTCGACGACTTGTTGCGCATGCCAAGTCACTGTCTACCTCGAGGTCCCATGATAAGAGAATTCGGAAAATGGTTAACGACGGTCAAACTATGATATCGCACCAGTCGATGAAGACCCTGCCTATTGATCTCAGCTGCTTAGAAAGATTTAGACAGCCCCCTTGGGGTAGCTTAAGACGATAGAAATCAATGATTGATTCGGACTCTCGGTGACATGATTGAAAATCGGTTACAATAGTGCAGATGTATTCACTCGTTGACGTCTTCTAAAGCTTGAATATTTACACTATCCTTTATCTTCAAATTGTTTATTCTCTTACAGAAATTTGTCTACACTAATATCACTTTCTTTCTATTCACCACCTGTTCTTTGTGTACTACTATGAAGTGTAGCAAGGTGAACCGATGGACTTGTGTGTGAGGTTTCACGTTGATTCTCTTTGTCTGTCTCACTCCAACGACTATCGCCTACATTACATAGACCCTTTTCAAAGATAGATGGATAGATGCACCAGTGGCTTCCTTTCACACTAATGGAACTTTCTTAGTAATTCATACCTTCCTAAATAATATAGTCATTTCGGTGATTACAGTCTCATCTCGATTCTCAGAAGTATTCTAGTGGGATTTGATATAACCCACATGTAATTATTTATTAAAATACAAACATGGTACTATGAGCGGGTACCAAGAAAAATGCACCACACAAAATAATATAACACTACTTTGAGGATATAATGAGGGGAAGTAGATAAAGAGAAAAACAATAAGAATAGAATGATTAGGAAGGCAGTCTAGTCGAAAGGAAACATTCATTCCTTTTCGGTAGCAGAAGACAGGAGGAAGTCAAAGCATGATTGCCACTGGTTTCGATTCTGAACCATATTCGATAACGTCTGAAGCCACTGAGTTGAGTGATCTCTTGAGGCCACCCAGAGAGTCGCGATGCACGAACAAATGGTAACCCGATAGGACTATGCTTTATCCCTCGGTGCTCTGTCATACACTGACCGCCTCCCAGTTTCTTCCATCTATCCAGTTCCAGGGTTAGCAAACTATGAACGGTATGAGAGCCATTGGGATGACATTCGTAATGCATATCTAAGACACCGTAGCCTGTGTTTCCAGATGACGGTCTCCATTATACCTAAACACAGTCTGTCGTACCTCAGAATTACTCACATGGTGTTACCACTGGATATGAGAAACCCTACAGAGACAACGGTGATCAAACACGCAGAGGTCAGGTTTCACAGGCGTAGAGCAGAACTGCTCAAACCGGAGCGTTTTAAACCCGAACTTTTACGGTCAAACTTACGTTGCGAGGGCACCAAGGGTGGTCCAGACTGATTATGCCACTCTGGTTTTCGATATGTACTCACACAACTACCCAGATACACGAACGTTCCGACTACTTCCAACGTCTCACCATTGAGGGTGAGCGCATGCACAAACTCATATCAGTGGCACAAATCACATACCATACTCTTATTTACACTAATCGCCAACTGATTAAGTGCGACTTTAGTAGCCTGTATGTTATCGCACAGTAAGACGATATCGTCCAGATATTCAAGGTCGAATAGACGTTGTCCATGTAGTAGACTTACACCACCATGACGCATGTCCTGCAGAGCTGTCTCAAGGACGTCATCGATCACAAAGTTAAAGAGAACTGGAGAAAACGGGCAACCCACACATAAACTAATGTAACATATGGATGATAATTTATTTTCAAATTGATCTGTGTGAAAACACCTACAGGTGTTGTGTGATAATTGTGTTCCAATGATGATGACCTCGTTTAACATCAACAACGGATAATGAACAACTTAGATAAATATGGCTTGTTGCCAGTATTCTATTTATCTGTATGAATATACATTCAGCCCCCTGGATGCATATTTTTCTTATCAATCAATATTCTTAACAAAATTAAGAAAGTGTTATTGCTTGTATTATCCTGTCGTTGGTTGCACCAATCTGATCGGTTTCTATTGGCATATGGACTCCTCTGCGGATGCCTCGATATTGCCTGTGTTTTAATTATATATTAATGATGTACAGTGGCTAGCAGTGGAATCCAGCTTGACGCGCGTTTCGTCCTATTTAGGGACTCGTTAGCTGGATGTACCTGCACCCCAGTGAGTGATGTTGTTTTCATCGGGATTCGAACTTGGGGCTGATTGCTTCAGACGTCGGAGCGTTATCCACTAGATCACTGAGCCACAGGTACATCTAGCTGACGAGTCCCAAATAGGAAGAAACGTGCATCGTGCATTCCACTGTTATCCACTCTTTATAGCATGATTGTTAATGATATCGCTTCAGGTATATCAGTTAACTGCTGTGTATACTGTAGCGTGATAATAGGTGACCCTATAAAAGTGTTGTATTTCTTTCTATGACAATGTTGAAAACCAATTAAAATGGCTCAAATTTATCGACTCTCTCTCTCTCTCTCATCTTTTGTTGTATTGTGAAATGTGGTAGTTCTCATTTAGTCACTGACTCACTAAGACGTGACTTTGACCAATTTTCACTCCAAAAGAAACAATAACAACAAATGATCGATAGGATTTAGTCAGCACTAATGACCTGAATAGCTGAGTTATAGTATCACTAACTGTAAAACTATATCACACGGGTCAGATCCTTTGGAGTTGTAGATCCGCTTTGCTGACGAGTACTAACAAGTGCACGTAACCTAAGTCCAACAGAGTTGACTTTCTGCCGATTACCTATAACTATCCAAGAGCACTGCGATGATGAACCCCCCCCCTGGGCTTGGTTGACAACACTCCAAAATGATGGATAGATTTTGGTTAGCACTTGACAATGTGAAAATTGGTTGCTCTCCAGTGGCCGATCCATTGAAAAAATATATTGATAAAGCCTAATTCAACAAGATAATGACAGATTTTGGTCGGGTTGTGTTATCTGAGACGGGTGATTTAATTGTGGAGCTTTCATTGTCATTCTAGACAACATCATCAGCTGCACAAATTTCATTGTATCCATGTTTATGTTGATCAGTTGTCTTGCTGACATGAACTTTGACCTTCTTCTTGTTTCTTATTGATTGATAGATTAGGTCAGTGTCAGTGTCTGTTGATTGGTGACTGATCTGAATGCCGAGCTTCTAAAAATTCTCTGGCATTCCATTTATTTCCTTTACCTAAGATTTTCACACTTTTCTATCCATCCAAATCAACATAAGACCAGGAATTACTGCATGACGATCCAACTTGCTACACTTCATATCACTACATCAAGTAAAAAGGTAGTCAAAAGAAATACAAGGTACGAAAAAAGAGAAAGGAAGAATGAGAAAATGCTGAGATTCAGTAAAGCGTCGTTAAGATAAGGATAATGTATGTGAGGATACATCTGTGCCACTGACATCGGTTCTCAGCCATGTCATCACCTACAGTCAGTCTCCAACCACTACTGCTTTCTCTTGTCCCACCTACCCCAATCACCCAGTATGCATCACCGCCCCCCCCCCCACCCCCACATGGATCAAAACAACAGTCAAACACTTCATACATTCATGACATGTTGTAGTCTGGCCGTCTCGAGTCTTTTTCCACACTGAACCTACTTCGCCGAACATTGTGTGATGAGGCAATCGGTGACTAGGCATATGTAACACGTGTCCCAGCCAACCATCTCAGTCGATGAAGGTTCACTACCATGTCAACTGATGATATACCTCTTCTCCCCAAAACTCTACACCTGAGCCTGACTTCTGAGTTACACATGTGGTGACACCACGACACAAGGTCTATACTACGAAGGCAATGGTGATGAAACACTTGAAGCCAGCTTTCTCATGTCTTCTACCATTATCGGCCATGTTTGACGGGCAAACAGTGGAACAGACTGAAGTGGTGTGCAGTACATGTGACCCTCAACAGACAATCGTATATCACGGCGGCGCCATAGGTAGGGTAAATTGGCAAACGCCAACCGAGCCTTTTGTATTTGTGCAGAGATTTCATCAGTCACATTTTTGCAGTCAGATTCATGTCCACGATTGTCCGTATGCATTAATATGAGCCAAGACATGTGATGACACTTCACCACTAGTTGATGTTCATGTAGACGGATACGAAGAGGTCAACCGCTCCATCCGATATGGCGTTTTTCGCAGTTTCTGTAGTTTGTTTTTTAAATAATGTTTGGTTTGTCTTCCTCTGCTATTGCATCTATTGACCAAAAGCAGAAATTGAAGAGATATTGTAGAATTATGAGATACGGTGATATCAAAAGGCTTCAATAATCTTATGGTGATGTAGGAGACTTTCTTCATCTAGGCCAGAACAATCCGTTTGTTGGTTTGCAAGATTGACTTCTTGGTTGATATCGAACTATGTAAACAACTTTTGATGAACTTGAGTGGATAGGCATTCTTCTGTAAAAAAAAAGTCATCTAATAGTTTTCTTCTTTCCTTTTACAGGGTTGATGTACTACAGTGTATTTTCACTCTTTTGAACAACATTTTTATACTACTGATTTTGTATACTGTTGGGTTGTTGCGATTGTAGTTGAGGATTTGATCCATACTAGTTGATTTTCTGTATACTTCAGTTTCCAATTTCCTCGATATCATGGACTATTGATAGACAGGCAGACAACCATGAGACACTAAAAACAGTGTGAAATAGACTATAATTTAGGCATCTTATTCCTTACTCACTTACTGTTTATCTGGATGCATACCAGAGCATGCACTACTTGGAATAAAGTTGAGATTTGAAGAAAGCTAACAGCGGTGAACTAAGCTCTGGTACTGATTCTTAAAATCTCTAACTATTGTTTTTATCATAACTTGCTTCGTTGCGGGCTAGCAAAGGGATCCAAGACGTGCGTTTCACCCTATTTGGGACTCGTCAGCTGGATGTACCTGCAGCCCAGTGAGTGGTTTCTTAACCACTGAAACTCGAACCTCATACCCATCACTTCAATTGCCAGGGTTGAACAATTCAATTCAATTAAACAACGGAGAATTACAAGTACATCAATAAATAGTAATAGAGATTTTATCCATTCAAGAAAGAGAAGCTAGACAGACTACTTACTTGGTTGGTCCTGTTAAGCAAGATATTAAAAATCATTTGTAGAACACCTTCGTTTTACGCTGTTTTGATTTGTGACAAATTGTAATCTTATACAAGAGAAGGCTTTACATTGATTTCCCCATTACTCATTTTATATATCTTAATAAAATTTCAGTGACATAAGCACTATTTCTATTTCAAGTTGTTATTCATCGTAGACTGATATCAGTTGGAGGAACAAAGGAAACCTGTGAGCATTGGACAGCTGTTTCGTCCCACTTGTATGGGACTCCTTAACAGTGCGCACCCACAACTCCACCAGGGATCGAACCCGCAATCTTCAGGTTCCGTGACCAGCACGTTATCATTGATCCACTGGATAGCAATCCAATGGTTCATATTTCCAACTTCTGTTAGCTCACGATATAGCTCAACCGCCATCCAATGTCATCGTTGAGTAACTGCTCTCACGACCATCAGGCTTTGGCCCCACCGATCACGACTTCTCATTGGAACTTCAGGAATACCTCTGGAAGCTAGTCATCAATGAGCACAAGTGCTGGCTACGGAACCTGAAGGTTATGGGTTCGATCCTTGGCGGGGTCATGGGTGCGCTCTGCTGAGGAGTCCCATACAAGTGAGACGAAACAGCTGTCCAGTACTCACAGGTTTCCTTTGTTCCTCTAATTGATGTCAGTCTACAATGAATAATAACTTGAAATATTTCCAAATCCTCACAACTTCCTCAAAATACTATTTTTATTATTTTAATTGTTATCCATTTCTTTCAGTGATACAAAAGAAGTGGATATTTGGATTGATCGAATTAATTTTGTTGCAGCACTTTTATCAGCACCGCCTTTAGCCTCAGCTGTCAGTTCCGAGAAGAATTTTCATCGTCCTCATTTACCTGCAACATATACAAAATTGAATATGGTAAGTGTTATATATATATATATATATATATATATATATATATATATATATATATATATATATATATATATATATAAACATTTGTTATGATATTCCATCTTCGAACAACGCGAAACGTTTTACGCTCGTATGATTTTGAAATGGTCAACAATATTTCTAGTTCAGGCAGATAATCTTGGTTGTATTGTCTTCTCTGAGCTGGATTGTTTAATCATAGAGTTTGATCAACAACATTTTCAATGATATCAAGTTCATAATGGAGGAGTCAAACAACCAACTGCCATTCCTGAATACTTTAGTCAGTTGAACTAGAAACCTAAGTGTACAGGAAGCCAACACATACTGATCAAATCCTCAACGTAAAAAATTAGTTGCATGTAGACTTTATTCAAAAGAGCTAGAACACACTGTACTACTACAACAACAACACGGAGAAACGAAGAACATTACTTGATGTCCATCCTAAAGAAGAATGGCTACCCACAAAACTTTATCAGTACATGCCTATCCCGTACATCATCAACCACAAAGTCATCCACAGAAACCAACAAATGCATCATCCTATCATAGATGGAGAATATATCATCATTATCAACATAGGACCAGGCATTACTGCCTCACGGTCCGAGTTGCCACACCTCATATCAGCACACCAAGTAAAAAGGTAGTGACGTGAAGGATGAAGATAAGTGAATGCAGTCAAAAGAAATATAAAGTACGAGAAGAAAAGAAAGAGGAGTGACAAAATGGTGAGATTCGGTATAGCCTCCTTAAGATGAGGATAATGTGTGTATACATCTGCTCCACTGACTTCGGTTCTGAGCCATATCACCTAGGGTCTCCAACCACTGGTTCCTCTTGTCCCGTGGACCCCAACCACCTAGTCCGCATCGTCCTACATGGCTTAAACCAACAGTCAGAGACTTCATACATTGGTGCCATGTTTTAGTCTGGCCACCTCGGGCCTTTTTCCAGCCTGAACCCACCTCAGCCAACATTGTGTGACGAGGCAATCGGTGACTAGGCATATGTAGTACGTGTCCCAACCATCTCAGTCGATGAAGGTTCACAACCTCGTCAACTGACTTACCTCTTCTCCCTAAAACTCTACACCTAACTTCTGCATTACTCACGTGGTGACACCACGGAATACGTCCTATACTACGAAGGCAACGGTGGTCAAACACCTGAAGCCTTTTTGTATCCTCCACTTTCAATGGCCATGTTTCACAACCATACAGTAGAACAGAGCGGACTGCTGTGCAGTACACGCGACCCTTAATAGACAAACGAATATCACGGCGGCGCCATAGGTGGCGCAAATTGGCAAAAGCCAATCGAGCCTTTTGTATCCGTGCAGAAATCTCAGATGGAGAATATATCATAAATCACGACAGGACTACTGAAACAAACCACTTGGAATTGGTGTGGCTGGCTCATAAACCAACAAATTCCCTCCAAACACTATTATGCAGACCGAAGGATGCAACAACCAAAGAAGACAAACCGAATATGATTTACAAAATCAACTGCATCCAATTACTGTAGTCAACACTACACTGGACAAGGTGGTCTCCCACTTCTCCTCCGTCTTCGTCTACATCAACACCAATCAACTGTCAAATGTCACGACATTTCATCACTCATTTCAATGCATGTGGATAACAACAATGGATATGAATTGAATTTCGACAATGTAGAGATCTTGGATGTAGAAAGGAAATACAAAGAATATCAGAGAACTCCTAGAAGCTTGGTGTTCACATCAGTCAGTCAGCAATCAATAAATGTGTAGACATCAACTAATAAGGAAAATGATGAATAACAAAAAGATCAGAGGTGAAGGAGAAGAACAGCCAAAAGGAAAATCTATACAGTTAGTCAATGACACAACAATCAAAGAAAATAACCAATCACAAGTCAGTTCATCAGAACAAACCACTGAATCATTCACAAAGAGATGTCACAATTAAACAAGCCAGCTCATAGAACAAAATACAACCGAAGTTAGGGTATCCATTATGAGTGTTTTTGAGAGAAACCCTAAAAAATCTCTGAATTTTTTCACAAACAGTTAACATATTCAAAAGTTTTAAGTAAAGGTACATACAGGTATCAGATTGGTTGAAGATGCAACCTCACTAGGTAACATCCTTTCAGAGGATCTGGAAATAACCGAAGCGTTTAAGCGAACAAAATGGGTGAAATCTGATAGTTATTATTCAATTATACCTATGTATATATATTCAGGTATTCGGTTCCATTTTGAGATTTCTAAATACAGACGTTTGATGAAATAACTTTCCGTATGGTGAAAAATATTTGTAGTCCACGAATATTGTATCACAAGAAATCATTGATGACGTTCAACAACATGACACTGAAACATCTGCTAACCAAAAGTCAAGCCGATAGAACAACGACTCGTTCAGAATAACATTTCTAAGTGTATCCTTATTCCTTCTTCCTTTTTGTATTATGTAATAGTATGTTATGCAATTCTCTTGTCATGTACAGGTTTATACTCTAGTTCATATTACTATATTTAGCTGCAATGTCTAACTGCTTAATAGGAGTGGCCTAGTGGATAACGCTCTGGAGTTTATAACGATTGGTCCTAGGTTCATGTCTTAGTGGGAGCAATATCACTCACTGGTAGGCTGGTACATCCAGCTGACTAGTTCTAAGTAGAAGGGAATTCACGTCCTGGATCCCGCTGCCATCATCAACGATATCCTATAACTAGAGCCTACATCTGTGAATTAAAATGTGAAAGTCAAGTCCGCATACGTTCAACCATGTTTAAATACCTAGTTGTATACATCTTGTAGACTGACAATAGAATCCAAGACACGAGTTTCATCCTATATGGGACTCGTCAGCTGGATATATCTACACTCCGATGAGTATTGCTGTTCCAAGTACCCATCGCTTCAAACACTTCAGCATTATTCACTAGGCAATCAAGGCGCAAGAGAAACCTCGTGTACAACAAGTACTAGTTATATTGGTTTCATGCTTGTTATTTCTCATTGCTTTAAGTACCTAATTTTCAAGTATTGAGTCTTAGATTCATCTTATTATTATTATTATTATTAGTCCCTTGAGTTCCTAGTGGAACATAGGGCTTCAGTAGCACGCCTCCAGTGACCTCTGTTCTCTGAGATCTTTTCAACCTGCTTCCACGACAGCCCACAACCTCTCATTTCCTTCTCACACGATCTGCTCCATGTCACCCTCGCCTCGGACGTCCAACTCGTCGCTTCCCATGGGGATTCCACTCGAGCAACTGGCCTGACGCGTGATGTCCCCAGTCAGCCTTCTCAGGGTATGCCCAATCCATCTCCACTTCTTTCTAGCGCATATTTGTTGGGTGATGGGTTCTTGGTTGGTTCGTTCCCAGAGCACCTTGTTGCTTATTTTTTCTGGCCATCTCATCTGATCTTCAGTAGCGAGCCAGCGTAAGCAGTTGTTGATGAATGTCTGTAGTTTATTGGAAATCCTTTTCGTGACGCGCCAAGTCTCTGAACCATACAAGAGCACTGACTTGACGTTGGTGTTGAAACTCCGGATCTTGTTCCACATGCTGAGTGCAGAAGATCTCCACACTGGTTTCAGGTTAATGAACGCCTGTCTTGCTCTTCCGATTCTGACTTTGACGTCCTCGTCCGTCCCGCCTGTAGTTGAAACAATGCTTCCTAGATAAGTGAAGGAGGTTACTTCCTTTAAGTTTCTCCCGTTGACGGTGATTGGAGTTTGTTGTTGTTGTCGATGGTGGTGGTGCAGTATCTTCATCACTTCTGTCTTCTGTATATTCACTTGAAGTCCCGTCTTCGCTGCCTCTTCTGTCAACTTGTTAGTTTTTGCCTGTACACCTTCAAGTTTATGTGACAATAGACACAAGTCATCGTTGGCGAAACCCAGATCTTCTAGGTTCTTTTCCACAGTCCAGCGTATCCCCCTCTTCTCGCTGCCCACTGTTTGCTGCATGATCCAGTCCACCACAATAAGGAATATCATGGGGGATAGTAGGCAACCTTGTTTCACTCCTGTCTTCACTTCAAAAGCATCACTGAGCTTCCCATTGTGAATTACTTGGCTGGCATGTGGCATCTTCATATAGTTGTTGAATGAGGCGGATAAAGGTTTGCGGTACTCCGTAGTATTGAAGCAGCTTCCAAATTACTTCTCGGTCGACGCTGTCGAATGCCTTCTCAAAGTCGATGAAGTTGAGGCAGAGAGCTGATTGCCATTCTATGCTCTGTTCTATGATGATGCGAAGCGTTGCAATTTGGTCTGCACATGATTTGTACTTCCTGAAACCTGCCTGTTCCGGTCGCAGTTTTGAATCCAGTGCATCTTTAAGCCTCTCCAGGATGATGCGGCTTAATATTTTACTTGGGGTGGACAGGAGAGTGATTCCGCGCCAGTTCTTGCAAACACTTAGATTCATCTTAGTTGCATATATTTCAGGTTCACCAATTGGATAGTTAAGTTTGGTTAATAGTGAAGAATAAACTCCTATATGGTGTTGATCAATTCAATTCACATACTTCTTTTTGAAAAAAATCATATATAAGTTAGTATTCTGAGAGAAGTAATTTGGTAGCTGCTTCAACACTACGGCTTTAGTGCAACAAACCATCAACCTCATTCAACAACTATATGAACACGTCACATGCCAAGTAATTCACAATGAGAAGCTCAGTGATGCCTTTGAAATGAACACAGGAGTAAGAAAAGGCTGTCGCCTACTATCACCCTTGTTCTTCCTAATTATGATCGACTAGATCATGCGGTAAATTGTGAGGAGCGAGAAGAGGGGCATACGCTGACTGACCGGGGAGAAGATCCTAGAAGATTTCAATTTCGCCGATGACTTGTGTCTAAGGTCACACAAACTCGAAGATCTACAAGTGAAAACTAACAAGTTGACAGAAGAGGCAGGGAAGTCGAGGAAGACGGAATTTCCTTCAGGTGAACGTGGAGAAGACAGAGGT